TGAACTGTGGTGTTGGAGAAGACTCTTGAGTCCCCTGGACTGCAAGGAGATCCAACCAGTCCATCCTAAAGGAAATCAACCCTGAATATTCACTGGAAGGACTGATGCTGAAGCTGAAACTCCAATACTTTGGCCATCTGATGCGAAGAGCTGATTCATCTGAAAAGACCCTGATGCTGGGAAAGACTGAAGGCGGTAGAAGAGGACGACAGAGGATGAGATGGTTGGATGGCATCACCGACTCAATGGACATGAGTTTGAGTAAACTCTGGGAGTTGGTGATGGACAGGGAGGCCTGGCGTGCTGCAGTCCAAGGGGTCGCAAAGAGTCAGACACGACTGAGCGACTGAACTGAACTGAACTCTTCCCAGTACATTTGCCTGACTCCTGTAGAACTGAGGTGTTCAGGAGGACCTGGGTCTTTTTCTACTGTATTTGTCATACTATATAAGGCAAAACATACAATGGAGCCATTAGGCCTTTAATCATCCCTGTTTAATGAATGAAAAATATACAAACATACCCATATAGTTTACAGAAAGAGGTTGAGGAAACAAGAAAGGGTCAGAGATATTTAGGTTCAAATTTTAGTCCATTCTTACAAGCATGCCAATGTAATCTGCCAACACCTCAGTTCCTTCGCTCCTATATAAAAACAAGGCCACTTTCTCCAAAGGGCTGTTCGAAAAGAATCTCAAATGACCAAACAGAGTCCCTATATAGGAACCTCCCTGGTGGTCCAGGGGCTAGGACTCTGCACTCCCACTGCAAGGGGCCTGCATTTGATTCCTGGAAGGGGAACTAGATCACACACGCCACAACTAGATTCCACATGCCACAACTGAAACTTGCCCACCGCAGTGAAATAAATAAAAACAAAAATATTTTAAAAAATCCTATACAATATGTGGACAATACGGGTGCTCAGAAAGAAATGTTGGTTTATAATGACTTCCAAGCAATGTTTAAAATTTCTTTCCATTTCTTTTGTCTTAACTTCTCCCATCTTTCCCACAAGCAAATAAAAATCTCATATTTTTAGGTTATCATTTTTTCTATTCCTAGAATGGTCTCTGGTCAAACAAAAACCCATACAAAAAAACAGTAGATACTAATCAACGAGTAGAATGTTAAAGAGGATGAACTGAACAAAATCCTAAGCTGACACTTCTTTACTAAATAATTCTCATGAGAAATCATAATAAATGAAATTCACATAAACAAAAATTTATCTTAACTTTTATTTCACCAAATACTCCCTTGCAATTCACAATAACAAGTTAGATAAGGGACTGCCCTGTTGGCACAGTGGATAAGAATTTGCCGCCTAATTCAGGGGACACGGGTTCAATCCCTGACTCAGGGATTCCACATGCTACGGTGCAACTAAGTCCATGAACCACAACTATTCGAGCCTGTGCTCTAGAGCCTGCGAGCTGAGACTACTGAGCCCCATGCTGTAACTACTGAAGCTGGTGCACTCAGAGCCCGTCCACAACAAGAGAAGTCAGTGCGGTGAAAAGCGCTTACCGCAACTAGAGAAAGCCTGTGCAAAGCAACAAAAACCCAGGGCAGTCAAAAATAAAAACAAACAAAAGACAGGCTAACAAGAGAAATCCAAAGTCTTATATTTCATAAGGAAACATTTTTCTCTGTATTATTTCATCATCATCAATACATATTAGTGCAACTGCAAATTAAGTATCACAATAAAAAGTATGATTAATCTACCACCCAAGCATGATATTATCTTGATAAGGAAAACCTACGTCATTTTATCTTCAAATCTGTGTGCTATGTATAAAGCACTGTTTTGTTATATAAAGTGTAAGCTTAAATGGACATTTGATTCTTCCTTTCTTTGAACTCTGAACTTGGAATGTGGTTCAGAAAGATAGGAGGCATACTACTGATTCCCCACTACAACTTTGCTGAGTCAATTCTATAGGAAGTACCACTTGCTGTTTCCTAATTTATTCTGTTAGTCACAGCCCAAGATAAATCACTTTAACTGTAATAGGCCAGCATTAGTTATAGAATTCTGGTCATGACTCATTTAGAAATTTAACATCATCCTTGTTCTTTCCTTAACCCTATATAAATGGTGGCTGTTGTTCACTCCCTCAGTCGTGTCTGACTCTTTGTGACTGCATGAACTGCAGCACGCCAGGCTTCCCTGTCCTTCACTATATACATCCCTGAGTTTGCTCAAACTCACGTACACTGAATCTGTTATACCATCCAACCATCTCATCCTCTGTCATCCCCTTCTCCTGCCCTCAACCTTTCCCCACATCACGGTCTTATTAAATGGTAAAAGGACCCAAATTCTGCGGCTGCAACTAGTGAGTACACAATGCACTTCAAAAAGATTAGCTAGCAAGGCTACCCTCCAGGTACTATGAGTGAAGCTTACTGTTCATGTCATTCAAGCAATCACCCTGTGGAGTCTCCAGTGCTTCCTGCAGCAGTCTGATTCAAGCTTTGTACACTGTAGAAACCATACGTTCACTAATGAATCAGGAAAATCTAGCCTCACAAGACTGAGGTTGCTTGATTTTGGGGAGAGATGTGGCAAAGAAGTCCTCTTTTAAATCCCACTAAACCAGAAATGGCCAACTCTGCAACCTGTATCTTAACCACTAATGCTTTATGGTATTATCTACCAAAATTTTTTAAACAGATTTACATGTAAAAGCATGTCTTGGATACTGCAAGTACAGAAACACTTTCTGAATCAAATAAGAAGGCTGTGCCAACCCTTTTCAACTCCATGACCACAGGGAACCAAAAGACCCTACAAATGAACCAAAAACACACACAAAACGTTGAGGAAAGTAAGACCTTTCCCAGGCATTCAATAGACCCAGGTTTTCCTGGCCTGAACTGGGCATTGCCACATGGTGCAGAATCAACAAAAAGCAACAGAGACGTGGCCTGGCTTGCTAATTTCTGTCTCCACCTAAGAGAAAAGAAAATAGTGTGCTTTCAAACTCAGAAACACTGTGGATACTGTAAATTAGTTTTTAATTCAAAGCCTTGGTACTCTGGATTAGTAACCAATATTAAGAACAGTTAGGTCAATAATGTGTTCTTAGGGCTGGAGTGAGAGGTTTCATGAATCTGAAAATCTGTTTTCATATTTGCAAACTAAAACTGCTAGACTGATACTTTAAAGAAAGCAGAGAAAACAATAGGGGTAGGTCCTATGGCAACTCACGGAAACTAGCATCTACTCAAACCAGCTAAAACAGAGCACCAGGAGTTCAAACGGTACCATCTTCAGAGTACTGGAACTAAGACAATGACAGAACTATTAGGAAAGATGATAGCAATAAATATTTAGCTTGAGTTATTCATCAGAAATTGTTTCACAATGAATGAAAAAATTAATGAACAATGTAAAAAACATTGGAAATACACAACTGATAACTGTATATAAAACAGAATTTTTCTTTACTGTGAGAACAGGAACACTTCTCATTTGAGAAGTGGGTTGCCATTGCTTTCTCCAGGGAATCTTCTGGTCCCAGGGATCAAACCCGTGTCTCCTTAACCACTGAGCCACCAGGGAAGCCCTATCTGTCTCCACATATTTACCTATTTGGAACATTTCATATAATTGCAATTACATAATATAATGTCTCTTTCCACTGGCTTCTTTTACCTATCAAAATGTTTACAAGGTACGTCCATGATGAAGAATATGTTAATACTTCATTCCATTTTATGGTCCAATAATATTCCACTGAATACCACATTTTGCTTATCCATTCAGTTGATGGACATCTGAGTTGTTTCTACTTCTGGTTTTATGCTTTTTTTTGCATGCATGGCGAGAAAACTAGATAATCTTAAAAATTCCTACAAAAACACACACTACCAAAACTATCCCAAAAAGAAAGAGAATAATTTCCTATAGCAAGTAAACAGATATTGAATCAGTAGTCAAAAAACATTTTAAGTATAGCCACTTCAGAAAACAGTATGGAGGGTATTCAGAAAACTACAAGTATTTATGTGAGAATGTGAAGAAATTAGAAACTTTATACACTGCTAGTGGGAAGAAAAAATAAAGGTAAAACCACTGTGCAAACAACTGAGTAGTGTCCCAAAGAGTTAATTACACAATTCTCACAAGATTCAGCAATTCTACTCCTAGGTACCCAAGAAGCAGAAAATATTATGTACATGAATGCTCATAACAGCATTATTCAAATGAATAAAAAGCACAAACAAACCAAATGGCCATGAACTGATTAATGGATGAGTAAAATGTGGTATATCCACCCAAGAATATTATCAAGCACAGAAAGACACAAAGTACTGAATTAAACTACCACATGAATGAACTTCAAAAGCATTACGCTACAAGGAAGAAGTCAGACACAAAAGGCCACAAGAGCATGATTCCATTTATAAGAAACGTCCAGAATAGGCAACACCAGAGAGACAGAAAGCAGATTAATGGTCACCAGAGCTGAGGAGAGAACAATGGGAAGTCACTGCTTAATTGATACGGGATTTCTTCTGGGGTGAGGAAAATGTCCTGGAATTAGATAGTGGTGATGAATGTACAACATGGAGAATTTACTAGAAGCCACTGGATAATATACATTTAAAGTGAATAAAATGAAGAATTTCACATGAATTTTATTTCAATTTAAAAAAATAACCCGAAACAACAATCTACTCAGCAACATATAAATTAAAACAACCACAAAAGTCCGTTTGGAATTCTTAGGTCTCTAGGCTCAAAACCTACATTTAAAAACAGGCATCAGATACCTCACAACTGTGATTTATTAACAGTTAGGAGACAATTTAAAAAAATTCTATCATAGAAGAAAGAGATTTAAAAAGTCATACATATTTTTAAGACCTAAGTTTGTACTGATCACTGTAGTCACTTTTAAGTGCAAGCAAACCCAGTTATTCCAGCAAGCCGACAGGAAAACACAGCCACTGTTAACCGTGTCCTTGGGGCAGCAGGGGCTCACCCGGCTTCTCTGGCTCATCTGGTCCCGTGCCTGCAATGCAGCTGCTCTCCAGGCCATAGGTGGGATCCACCTTCCCAGAGGCTCGGGCCGCTTCTTGAACCTTCTTGACATGAGCCTCCACCAATTCCAGCGGCACCTCCTCCCGGACTCGAGAAAACTCCTCTGTGTAAGAATAAAAATGCAACAGTGATCTGGTGTCGCATGAATATTTGCTTAAGTGTAAACTAGAAAATCTGACACAACACTAGTGTGTCGTGTGTAACCTAGTAACCTTTCTTGAGACTCAATCTGATCTATCCAAGGAAGTCAAGAAGGCCAAAGTCAACATGTACAGTGATGTAATTCCATGACTCTTATGTCTTACCTTACGTGCCACAGTCTTACTATATAAACAAGAGATTATGATCTTTAAATATCTATCAGTAATAATCAAAACTACTGTCCAAATTTCATCTAACTTTGCTGTTTGGATTTTAATCAAGAAAACAGTAAGGATGAAACAATCAGAAAGTCAAGAAATTCTATAGTGTGAAAAAGTTCTAGTTAGAATTCATGCAACCCAAGAAAGTTAAATAACTCCTTTTGCCAATTATATCAAAATCCGTATGAATCACAAAATACCATTAAACACCACTGTTTCATCCCTCCAAATTCTGAAAAAATGCTCATAGTTTGAAAAATGTTGTATTTAACTGCTTTATTTGAAAAACATCATCTACTATCCCTAAGGGGTAGTACATAAAACTGCAATGAGTATAACAGCCAATAACACCTAAATCTGAGATAAAACTATCATGAAAGAAAGCATGAAACCATGATCTGAAATGGTTATACTCGTGAGACAGCTTAACAAAGTCCATACCCAAAGCCGCTTTGGCTGCAGCAGACGCCACACGAGGATCCACCACAGATGCCAAAAAAGCAACAGTGCTCATGACTGGGTTTCCTGACTGACTGAAGGGCACAGGCTGGTAGGCCAGGGGCCCCAGGGAAGCATCAGAATTCTCAAGGTATGGGTCCTCAATGGGAAGCCTCAAGAAGTGGAGGATGCATTCATCCTGAGTGCGACTTCCAACGTGCTCTGACACTTTGTTCCAATCATCCTTATACATCTCCAGAGCCTGTGAGGGGAAAAAACAGGAGCTTTAATATCAGGTAACAAGGAAGTAATACTTAATGACATCAGAAGCCTACGACTATTCTTTAGATGGGCTTTAAATTAAAAACAGTAAAGAAAATAGTTATACTGTTCATAGCAGGTAGTTCTGATTGCTTTCCTTATTATATTAAATTCTCAGTCAAGAAAAACAAATAAAAGGCATGTACATTACAAAGAATTGTGGTGCTGGAGAAGACTCCTTAAAGTCCCTTGGACTGCAGAGAGATCAAACCAGTCAATCCTAAAGGAAAAGAACCCTGAATATTCACTGGACAGATGCTGAAGCTGAAGCTCCAATACTCTGGCAACCTGATGTGACAACCAGCTCACTGGAAAAGATCCTGATGCTGGGAAAGACTGAGGGCAGGAGAAGGGGACAACAAAGGATGAGATGGTTAGGTGGCATTACCAACTCATCAGATGTGTTTGAGCAAACTCCAGGAGAGATTGTCTTGATACTTTCCAGCATAACCTTTCCAGATGAGCTTACTTTTAAGCTTTTTTCTTTGTTCATTTTCTTTGACTCAGAGAAAAGTAAGAAAGGTCAGGAAGTCTTTTTCCCAGAATAAAGCTAAGGTATTGACGTGCAGAATTCAAGCCACAGTCAGCATCCAGAAAAGCATGAGGCTGAGAAACAGTGAAGTTCTGAGCCTGAGCACCGATAGAAGCATTACATAAGAGGGGTGGAATGAAGAGATGTTTTCAAAACAACATGGTGACAGACCTCCAGGAAGGAAAAGGGTGACATATAGAAAAATGTTACTAGTAGACATTTTACACTACACAACACCTTCACTCCTCCTATCATCACTGGGATCTTCACCACTGCTTACTTGGATTCTTAGAATTGCCTGTCTCTACCCTTAAATTCATCCTTCTTCCTGTTGCTGGATGTATGACACAGCAGACTGTCTCTTGCCTGCCTAAAACTATTTCAGTTCTCACCATTATGTTATGGAATTAAGGTCAAGCACGACAGGGATCTGCTAATTCTTCCACCTCACCATCATATTCTTTAATGTCCCGGGAATACCCAGATCCCACATCCTAAGTATTGTGTGTATGTACAGTTTGTTCTGTACTAGAAACATCATGGACCAGAACCAATACCAGCACCCTACTCCAGGAAGCTGTCCATTATATCTTATCTACCCAGGCTAGCTACAGAGACACTCCTCTGTACGTCTTATGCTCCAGTCACACCTCTAATCATGTTTCAATCGGTTTCTGTCACACACTAGACTATGAATTACTGAATTGCAGACACTATGGGCTAGTCATCTCAATCTGTCTGCCACAGTGCCTGAAACACAGTACCAAATAAAATGTGCTGAATTTAATCACAGGTAGGCAAACTAAATTAAGAAAGGAAACTTACTTTTCCATGACTCCAAGCATTAAAAGAAAAAAGAAAAATTCTGGGGAATTCCCTGGCAGTAGAGTGGTTAGGACTCTACTGCCAGGGGCAAAGGTGTGATCCCTGGTTGGGGAACTAAGATCCTGAAAGCTGAGGAGTGTAGACAAAAACAACCACCACCCCATAATTTTTAAAAAGGCCTTTCTTCAAGACAACTGGAAGCTGAAGTGTAATACAAAATTAGACAGGAAGATACCTAGTAAGCAGCCTATGTGACATGCTTGCCTGATAAAATGGTATGATTTGGGGGAGGGAGGGCAGACAACAATAAACTTGACCGAGTCTTCCAGATGTATTTATCAGGGTGAAATTGACCAAGTTTTTGGTTATAAATCGATAAAAAAATTTTCTTCTGACTTCATGTTCTTAAGCTATTAATTATCGATAAATAAATGATAAAAACAGGTGTGAATGGTCAACAATACTGCTGGGAAGGCTTTTATATTCCTCTGTGTAAGTGCAGACATCTGTTGTTTCAACAGCATGTTTAAAAGGAAAATCAACCGGTTGTAAAGTCTCCAGCTGCAGGAGAGAAAACACACTATTGTGTGGAGATCTGTGGCTTTCTGGGATATGTTCAGGGTAAACAGTAGCTCAGCTTTTCTGACCTCACTCTTTATTTACTATCCACTAATCTTAACCAGTCAACCTTATGGGAAATCAACCCTGAATACTTGTTGGAAGGACTGATGCTGAAGTTGAAACTCCAGCATTTTGGCCATCTGATGCAAACAGCTGACTCAATGGAAAAGTCCCCAATACTGGGAAAGATTGAGGGCAGAAGGAGAAGAGGCCATCAGAGGACCAGATGGCTGGATGGTATTACCGATCCAATGGATATGAACCTGGGCAAACTCCGGGAGATAGTGAAGGACAGGGAGGTCTGGTGTGCTGCAGCCCATGGGATTGCAAAGAGTTGGACACAAAGAAGAAAACTCTTGAGTATAAATGTGCAGCAAGGAAAAGAACTGACAGGAGAATGCTGTTTCAGGCAATACTGCACAACTGCATCTCTCCCTAGAGCCCACAGATTCTATATGAGCAATACAAAAGCACTTCCCATACATTTCTCCAAAAGGACTGAGAACTGTAAAATCAATACCCGTAAACATATGACTAGACAAGACAGCCCTGAGTTAAAAGAAAAAGGAGTTCAGGAAAGAAGCTCTCTGCATACCAAGGACACTGAAAGGACAGACAAGAACAAATGAAAACAGTGGTAAAAACACAAAAGGAACAAATCTTTTTGATTATAGACAGACACAAAGAAAGAGAGAGTGAGAAGAGAGAATAAGGAAAGTAGAAGAGGGTGATAAAAATGAAAAAGGAAGAGTTAATATACTATTAGAATTTTTCATGAACCATGACTGTTGGAACAATTCATAAAATCAAATTAGAGCAAAACTAATTTTTGTTTTTGTGACACCACCAGGCCCAAAGGATCCCAATGTGTGGTCTGGAAACTCACAGAGCACCAGACCCCTTCACAGAAACTGAGAGATCAAAATAATAACACTAGGACATTACCGTCTTTGTTATGTCGACATGTGCACAATGGCACAAAAGCAATGGGGGGGGGGGTGTGAACCTGTCTTAAGGGTCATTTAATTCCTCATTACCACATACTTGAAGAAACCAAATAAGCCAACCTTACTTAAACATTGCCTGGATGAAATAGTAAAAATGATTTTTATTGAATCTAATTATCTTAGCCCATGTATTTTCAATATTTGGTGTTATGAAATGCTAGGTAAACAGGAGGACTACCAATTCTCGAAGCATAACTATCTAAAGAAAAAGCACTTGTGTGATTGAGTTTCAAGTTCAAGTAGCCACTCTCTTCTCCAAGTATCACTGTCACTAGAATGAAATGCTAACACACCAGTTTTACAGACACAGATGTCTGGCAGACATTTTCTCAAAAATAAACAATGATTCTCAAAAATATCACTCCAAGGAAAACAACTGATACTGTCAGTTGCCAACAATTAAGTGAAAAATTACAATTCTGAAAATCATGCATCTGCCATGAAAGTTTGTTCTACTCTCTAGAAGACTTCCTAATGAGATTGGTACCAATATTATCAATTTGCATTTTTTGATATTGTATAATGAACTGCATCAACATTTGGAAGATCTGCAAAAATCAGAAAACCAGTATTTTCCAACTTATCAATGAAAGACGCTATGTAATCATACATGGGTATAAGATCCATTACTAGTCCAACAGGAGAGACCAATGGATTTCACACAGCAATTAACCTTTAAGAAACTACCAGTGGTCAAGGTTTAATGTGATACTGTACAAGCATACCTTAGAGATGCTGTAGTTTCAATTCTGGACCACTGTGATAAAGTGAGGACTGCAATAAAGCAAGTCACACAGGTGTGTTGGCTTTTACAGTGCATATAAAAGTTATATTCATACTATGCTGTAGTCTGTATGCAATAGCTTTGTCTTTAAAAAAAAAATGCATGTATCTTCATTTTAAAATACTTTGTTGCTAGTGCTTCCTACATAGCTCAGTGATAAAGAATCCGCCTGCCAATGCAGGAGACATGGATTAGATCCCTTGTCTGGGAAGGTCCCACATGCCAAGTAGCAACAGAGTGCATGCACCGCAACTATTAAGCCTGTGCTCTACAGCCTGAGAGCTGCAACTACTGAAGCCCTAGCAACCTAGAGACCATGCTCCACAACAAGAGAAGCCACTGGAATGAGAAGCTCAAACACTGTGATGAAGCGTAGCCCCCACTTGCCGCAACTAGAGAAAAGCTCCCACGGCAATAGTGACCCAGAACAGACATAAATAAATTAATTTTAAAAATACTTTGCTACTAAAAAATGCTAACTATCACCTGAAAGTAAAAGTCGCTCAGTAATGTCCGACTCTTTGCGACCCCATGAACTATAGAGTCCATGGAATTCTCCAGGCCAAAACACTGGAGTGGATAGATATCCTCACTCCAGGGTATCTTCCCAACCCAGGGATCAAACCCAGCAGGCGGATTCTTTACCAGCTGAGGCACAGGGGAAGCCCAAGAATACTGGAGTGGGTAGCCTTATCCCTTCTCCAGAGCATCTTCCCAACCCAGGAATCAAATCTGGGTCTCCGGCATTGCAGGCGGAGTCTTCACCAGCTGAGCTATCAGGGAAGCCCATAACCATCATCTGAGCCTTCAGTGAGTGATCTTTTTGAAATAGTAACATCTAAGATCACAGATCACTGTAAACAAATATAATTAACAATAAAAAGTTTAAAACATTCTGAGAATTACCAAAATGTGACACAGACACAAGGTGAACAAATACTGTTGGAAAAATGGCACCAACAGACTTGCTTAATGCCTTCAGTATGTTTTTTTTAAAAAGCAGGGGGTGGGGGGCAGGGCAGATGCCTGTATCAAAGAATATAACTAATTATCTGAAAAGGCCATTAAGATATTTCTCCTGCTTCTAACTACATATCCAGGTGGTAACAGACTTGCCTAATAAACTAAATATACCTAATGGACAAGCAACCAGGGCCATTTAGTCAAATCTATGGTTTTTCCAGTAGTCATGTATGGATGTGAGAGCTGGACCATAAAGAAAGCTGAGCACTGAAGAATTGATGCTTTTGAACTATGGTGTTGGAGAAGACTCTTGAGAATCCCTTGGACTGCAAGGAGATCCAACCAGCCCATCCTAAACGAGATCAGTCCTGGGTGTTCATTGAAAGGACTGATGTTAAAGCTGAAACTCCAGTACTTTGGCCACCTGACACAAAGAGCTGACTCATCTGAAAAGACCCTGATGCTGGGAAAGATTGAGGGCAGGAAGAGAAGGGGATGACAGAGGATGAGATGACTGGATGGCATCACCAACTCAATGCACATGAGTTTGGGTAAACTCCAGGAGTTGGTGATGGACAGGGAGGCCTGGCGTGCTGCGGTTCACGGGGTTGCAAAGAGACACAACTGAGCAACTGAACTGAAGACAAACAGTTCTCCTCTGAAAATGGTTGATAAATATGAAACCAAAAATTCTCTTTTCCTATCCTTCAGAGTACAATTAAGTGATCTGCAAGAATCTCCAACGACATAAGGAAACTGAAAAAAGCAACATGCTGATGGACAAAGATACTGTGTATAATCACAAATTCATCATAGAGTCTTCACCTTTCATTCACAAGGTAATTTTTTCAATGGCAGGTATTTTCAGCCACTTTTCTGAAATCCTTTTGGGAGATACGGAGGTTGCATGCTCAAATGCATAGAAACACTAGGGAACTAATCTACAATGACTGACACGGTCTAAGTTAAGAAAAAGTGGATATGAAGAAATTCCCCAACTCAAAAAAACATCTGCTGGCCAAGGAGATAATTATTGCTGTGTGAGAACAAAGGTCCAGAGTTGCTAGATCTTCTAATTATGGAGGAAGAGTTAGAAATCTAGACTACCTTGGCAAAGTTCCAATATTTGTTGGTAACAGATTTAAAATAAAAAAACTCAACCCGAGCCAAAATAACACATATCCAAGCTTGATGTCCCCTACTGACGACCAGCACGCTGTTACCTCTAGTGTGATACACAAACTTTAACAGCCCAAGAACATTCTAGTAAAACTCACTGCATGGACTTAATATTTTAAGGATAAATTTCAAAGGTATATTTAAAATGCTAGGCACAGAAACTTACCACCCATCTCATAAGAATAAAGGGGCTCCAACCATTAATGTGCTTACCTCCAGGAGTAGAAGGGTCTCCTGTTCTGTCCATTCTCTTCCAGCACTAGCACCTTTACTCTAAAGAAAAAAATTCAGAAACTATTTAACTCATTCCTAAAGGCTGAATATGGAGCTCATCAGAGCTCCTAAGTTCCGGGGACTGATTTTCTGCAAACCACCAAAATAAGTCCCTGAATAACAGGAATAAAACATGTAAGGAACTTAAACTCCCAAGAGAAAGACTGTTTTATTTCAAAGATTTCTTGCTGTCTATCAAGAACTCATGACTACTTAGACATGGATCACTTACACTACTTATTTCTACTACTTTGGTATTTAAAAACACCTTTTTAATCTACAACAGCATAGCATGTTAATGCATACTATGGATGCACTATAATATTAAAACATAAAACAAATGTTTGGTATACATTGAAGGTTGTACTTTATCCAAGATTTTAAGAACAAACTACTACACATAAGGCACTCTGGCAGATACTTTACTCCAATTGCAACAGGTTCATATTACCTCATATTTAACATCTCTTGATTAATAAAATCTTCAAGTGACTCCCTAAACTCCAAATCACTTTTTTCATGAGAATCTTTGGTAACTTACAAGTGAGCCTGTGTCCTCTTGATTAATACCTTTATCATTAAGAGATGCCTCTATTTAATTCTGGTAAAACAACTTGTTTTGATGTCTATGTTTACAAATATTAATATAGTGATTTTGACTTTTGTCTTTCCCATTCATTTTCATTTAGTCTGTGTCTTTATATTTTGAGTGTCTCAGACAATGTATGTTCTCGATTTTTCATCTAATTTGATAATCTCTGCTGCTCAATCAAAACATTAAAACCATCAATGTGCAATTCAATATAACTGTTCCTATGGTCTTTATTCCTTCCTAGCCATCATATGCTTCCACTTGGAATCACTACCCTTCAACTTAAAAGAATTCCCTTCAGCTTTCCTACACCTTGCACTAGTTCCACCTTTTGAATGTCTGTGAAGGTCTTTACTATACTTTCAATTTTGAAAGCTATTTCTATTGAATACAGAATTTCAGAGTGACAGTTTCCCTTTCAGCATTTAAAAATATTTTTACATTGTCCTCTGGCTCCTATCATTTTTGCTGAAAAGGCAGACATCAGTTTTATCATTGTGCCATTGACTTTAATGTGCCCACCTCCACCCCCACTCTCCTTGGTTGATTTAGTACATCAACTTTAAGAGTTTTAACATCAAATACCCAAGTATGCTTTTCTCTGTGTTCAATCTCTCTTATTCTGGGCATTGTTATTTTTTCATTAGTTATGGAAAACTTTTAACCCTTACACTTTCAAATATCAGTTCTGTGCCATTATCTCTCCTTTTATGGGTCTCTATTAATGATAAATTAAGTCTTTCTTCTGACTGTATCTCATGTGTCTCTTGCATTCTTTTCTCTTTGACCTGTCCCCTCAACTTCAACAATATTTTTTTCTCTTGGTGTTTCAATGTATCTGTCCTGTCTTCGGCTATGTCCAGCCTTCTGTTATACCCATCCAGTGGGTTAATTTCAGGTATAGTTTTTAACTGTTCAATAGGTATTTGATTCTTTTTATATATTCACCTTCTCTGTTGAAATTCTCCGTTTTCTCCTCATTTTAACATATTAATCAAAGTTATTTTTATATACCTATCTTCTAACCACACCATATAATGACTTCTATAAAATGCCATCAGATTTATGAAGAAAGCTCACCTCCTTACCCTACGAAAAGTAAATCAAATTTCTTACAAAAAATGCTGCTTCTTAGAAGTAAAAAGGACAAACAAGATATGCTAGATTGTAGTCCATACAATCCTATCAAAAAATCCTTACCTTTGCTAAGGTTTTCTTGGAGTAGATGTCAGTACGAAGACCAAAGTTCTGCAAATCAATTGGTTTTTCCTTGTTCTTCTCGGGAAAATTTAACATTTGCTGAGCAGCAGGAATCTATGAGTCAAATAAATGATAAATGGCTGTATTAACCTCTACAAAGTCAAGGGGACAGAAGTTTTTAAGGCTGTTTAATGCTGGCACTTAAATGACTCCTGGTGGAGATTCTACAAAACAAACAAACAACCTTACGCTAAACTAACAAAATTTCAACATATAAGAAACTTTTTTTTGCCTCTCTTAAGTTACAGAGACAACAGACAAATTTTCTTTAATGTTTCACAGTGGGAGCAATTTATAGGTTTCCTTTGTGTTATTCCAACAGAATGATACACATAATCCAACTGACATAATCGTTTCAAGAACATGTGCATAGATGTCCACTTTCCAAATGTTAAGGGAAGGGAAGAAGTTCTAAACAATTTAAACAGTCTGCTTCTTGATTACTGTCTTTGACGGCAGAGGTGATAAAGGAGTCATGAATTATTAAAGTAAATCGGTAACATGATAAGATAAAGCACAGACTCTTGGGATTAAGGAGAGAGCATTATCTTAAAACATAAAACATTCTTATGGAATCAAACATTTACAACAGATAAAAACAAACACATCCTACCAGCTAAGAGACAGCACAATTATATAACAGTAATTCTTGAACACAAGTAGTAGAAATGGTTGTCTGTTATTACCTAGACCTGAAGAATGAAAACTGAAAACTTAATCACTCAGTCATGTCTAACTCTTTGCAACCCCATGGATTTTGGCCCACTAGACTCCTCTGTCCATGAGATTCTTCAGGCAAGAATACTAGAGTGGGTTGCCATTTCCTTCTCCAGGAGATCTTCTAGACCCACGGATCAAACCCTGGTCTCCTGGAATGCAGGCAGATTCTTTACCATCTGAACCACCAAACCTGAAGAGGAAGTGGTATTAATTTACCTGAGGTGATCGAAGATGTAGAGGAACAAGCCCGGAGGGGGTATCAGCTAACACATTGAAATGAGGAGTTGGAGGAGGCCCCATTGCCATGGGTCGACTTTCTGGATCCACTTGGTAATTAACAAGCCCCCACTGCTCTAAGAAGGCATGAACCCTGAAGGATAAATGTCTGAAAGTTAAAATCTAGAGAATGTACCTCATCATCTTCATAACCATCATCACATTTCATTAAAAAAAAAAAAGTAAACACGTTCTTTTGCAGGTTACGAACCTTCACAAAGTAATCGACAGTTTTGGTTTGAGGGACAGTCTCTACAAACTCAAAATGTTAATAATATAGCACCCCCAAACCAAGTAGAAAGCCTAATCATTTCAACCACAAAAATGAGAACAAATGCCTGTGTAGGTCCACGGTGAAGGAATTCACACATAAACCAAACTCACAAATGGAAATCTACTTTTTCTTTTCTTTAGACAGATTTAGGGCACAGAGCTTATTCACTCTCCACCTTAGCCCACTCTCTATCTATGGTCAGTTTATGATTAAAAGATGTAAAATGTGAATTTTTTTTAAAAAATGACACTTTAGGTATTTTATTAACCAAGAAAACATCAAATTTAATCAGCCTAACATTAGCAAAGTACCAGTAACCATCTGCAGTGAAATATCTGAGAAAAAGTCCAGACATTTTTACCTCATCACAGCACACACATCTCCAGTTAAGTTCCTCCGACAAGCAGTGCTGGTTAAATATTCTTGGGGATTTAGGCGGTATGTGTCAATCATAAAATTTCGATATGCCAAGTATCTAAAAAGTAATGCCCAAATTCGTAAGGTGAACACACATCCTTTCAAAAACAGTAACTCAGAGAGCAAAGTAGTTTCACATTCCTCTAGCAAATACACCAAAAAATTAAGACAACAGGCCAATAAATCAGAGTGATATTGTAACTGACTATTAACAGTCATGCATGCAACTCAGGGTAAGAATCCCTAAAACACAGAACAACTGTCTGCTAACATGTAACAATAATAAGTACAAGAGAGTAATGTGATGAAGTTAATGTGAAGTAAAACAAGCATAACCTTGGTCACAGAGGTGAACCAATAAATCCTTAGCTGTCTGCAAAATTTGCAAATAACACCTGGTTACTCAGGCTGTCTCTGTAACTACACTATTCTATACCTAGAATTTTACTGTGTGCCAGCCTTAGGTCTAAGAACCTTCTGTGTGGTAACACATATAATCCTCACAATCTCTCTATAAGGTAGGATCTATTGTTATTCCAATTATAGATGAGGATTAAAGAATATGTCCCCAGACCACAAGGCTAGTAAGGGGAGCTAGAATTCAGCAGTGTGGGGACTCTGACATTAGCAAAGATTAACTAAGAAGAGTGCTTTAAGAAGCCACTGCCAAACACATCCAAATAGTCAGGTTTTCTAAAGACAGTATCAGGATCACATCTTTACATTTCACTCACATCTCTGGAGTCTTGGATTTGTTTTTTCCATTGAAAAACTCAGGAAGAGCACGTCGTTCAATCACATGAATACTGAAGAGAAAAGAAAGAGAAACAATTAAGAGCTCTCTTAGAAAAGCAAAATCCTGAAATTTGAGTTAAGCCTGTTTAATTTTCAAAGTAAAAATGGATGAAACTGAAAACTGAGCACTACTTGCAAAATTTAATTGGCCTGCACAAGTTCCTATGTATTAACAGTATGTAATAATAAAACTACAGAAAATATAATGTATACTAAAAAGTTACATGAACTATAAAGTTAAAAAAAGATTTCCCTTTCTAACCTCTAATACTTAAACTACTGTCTTTCTATTCACATCTGCTAAGTCACTTCAGTCGTGTCCGACTCTGTGCGACCCCATAGACGGTAGCCCACCAGGCTCCCCTGTCCCTGGGATTCTCCAGGCAAGAACACTGGAGTGGGTTGCCATTTCCTTCTCCAACGCGTGAGAGTGAAAAGTGAAAGTGAAGGCGCTCAGTCGTGTCCGACTCTTAGCGACCCCATGGATTGCAGCCCACCAGGTTCCTCCATCCCTGGGATTCTCCAGGCAAGAGTACTGGAGTGGGTGCCACTGCCTTCTCCGTTCCATTCACATAACCAAACTCAAAAAGTTCTATCAACACATTGAAGGCTTTAGATTTTATGGAATTGTCCTAACATACCATAACTAGATGAAGAGCCAGAAGATACGAGAAGTTCTTTGGAAATTGTAGGACAAAAATCACAGTAACTGGTATGGCAACAAAATTGGTGAAATAACCAAAAGACAGTGGAACTGACAATAATTAGTTTCTCAGATTCAACATTAATGGACATTTTTGACCAGTCCTCAGAAACTTTGAAGTGAACTTAATTTTTTAATATAGTGACTTACTGCTTTTAAAAAGATCACAGCACTAATTTTTAACATTTAAATAAAAGCACTGATAATTTTATAAAATGTTACAGGTGATAAGCACTGTAGAAACCATGTAAAATGAATCAGGCCCAAAACATTCTACAAATGAACCAACTGTACATCTAGCACAAAAGTTCAGACATTAATGGTGGCTCAGTGGTAAAGAACCCGCCTGTCAATGCAGGAAACTCAGATTTATTCCCTGGGTTAGGAAGAACCCCTAGAGGAGGAAATGGCAACCCACTCCATTATTCTTGCCTAGAGAAATTCCATGGACTAAGTAGCCTGGTAGGTTACAGTTCACAGGACTGCAAAGAGTCGGACAAGACTACTCATGCACCAACGTTTTTCCAGATGACACATTTTAGTTTCTCAGTGGCTTTCCATGTACAGAAATTGCATGGGAAAAAGCAAATCAAGTCTGTGAATACAAATAAAAGCATTCACTCTTTATTTGGTAGCACTTAATTATTTGAAATGCTATAAATAAATACTATAAATACTATAAATAAAATGAATCACCTGGAAATGTCTAGGAAGATAATTTCTAAGATCAAATATGTTCCACAGATCTATGTATAATGAATTTCCAGGTTTTACTATAAAAAGAGTAACTGTAAGTATTACAAACTGGTTCTAATATACTCATGTTATGTTACAGGTTAGGAAGAAGCCAAAAAAACAATTTCACCAAGAACAAAACACATAAGAGTATATTATCACAAGCACTTTCTTTTTCCAAACCTATGTCTGAAGTACTGGCAGCCAATTCCTTAGGTTTTGTGAATGAGTCAAGTAGTGGAAGGAGTAGTATCCAGAATCTGAAAGCCTGAGTTCTTCCAATGATCAACCCACAACTCAAACACTTCAACTGAGACAGCAGTTAGTTCATCTATAAGCAGGGATATAACTAATACCTCTACTGTCCATCTAACAGCACGCTTTGTGACGTGTAAATATAAGTGTTTCTGGAACCTACAAAAACATACAAAGTTAAATACTGTTATGACTTTCTCCTTTTTTGAGAGGAAAATGCTAGTTTCTCAAGACACTCTGAATCTTTTTAATTACCAATAATGTAACTTCCAAATTTAAAACTCATTTAACATCATAATGAAAGTAATGAAGACTGACCTTCAAAGTAGAGCTATTTACTTATTCTGTTTCAGCTTATTCATAACATTGAGGAACAGCATGCAGAGCTAAGTTTTAAAAAGTATGCTGAAAAGTCTCAACAGTAGAGACCATACCTTCTGGTTTGGGGGAAAAAAAGAAGGTATGACTCAAGTGGACCATCCACCCTATTCTTTTAAGGTGGTCTTATAGATATGTATATGTGTGTGTATGAATATACGTATACACATACACACACATATATGTATATAAGGATATACAGGCACATATATCCTTAAAAATAACACAAAAATCACTGAAAGCAGGCAAAATATCCAAACAGGACCATAACATTCAGAGTGAGGGTGGCATCACTAGACTAAGTATACAGTCTTCCAATAAAAGGACCTTAAAGAAACTAACATCTATTTAGATTTCTGGTACGTTTATTTAAAAATAAAAAACTGTCAAACAAAAATCAGCCTGATATGAAACAGTTGCACTTCAAAAGTAATCAGGAAGTTTGATATCTAGGTCTGCATTTATTTCCATCCATGTTCCAAGGATGCCTCAATGGTTGTGGTAAATGACAAGGAGGATGCTGAGATGGGTATTTTCTTGAATTCTTTTACATGCCAGGGTTTATATGCGAAAGAGCTCCTGTTTCCCGTTAACATAAAGCCATGACTGGGTAGTCAGAAGAGTTTTACTTTATGTATTTCCATAACATTTAAAAATCAAAAAATAAAAAATAAAAAAAATTAAAAGTCACAGGGCTTCCCTGGTGGCTCAGTGGTAAAGGATCCACCTGCCAATGCAGAAGATGGGCGCTGGATCCCTGGTCCAGGAAGATCTCACATGCCACAGAGCAATTAAGCCCATGAGCCACAACTCCTGAGCCTGCACTCTACTGTTTAGAGTCCGGTAAGAACATCTACTGATCCTGTGTGCCACAAGTACTGAAGCCCGTGCACCCTAGAGCCCATGTTCCACCACAAGAGAAGCCACTGCAGAGAAGCCACTGCAGAGAAGCCTGCACCCCACAACCAGATAGCGGCCCATGCTCATTGTAACTAGAGAAGAGCCTGCATGGCAGTGAAGAAGCAACACAGCCAAAATTACATACACAGTTATTTTTTAAAAATCTGTTTAAAAATCATATCATAAACATCAGTATTTTATAATAATTAAATACTCAAGCATTTGCCTGTCTGAACTAAAACTGACACCAAATGAGTTAGGCTTAAGTTTATAAAATTTTATAGCCCTAAGTTACAACATAATCCAGTTTCTATACCGAAGTAAAACAACTAAAAGAACACATTCCAAAGTTAAAATAACGTTCCATCCTCCATCATCTAGCGTGACAGGGTTTACCAATGAGAGGACTTGGGCAGAAGAGCACAGTATTGTTTAAAGCAAAGTGACCCCACTCCCAAGTGCCATGTTCACAAACATAAGCACCCACTCACCAGTTATAATCAAACCACGATGCATAGCTAGGAATAATAATGTGATTGGTCTGCTCAGTCACATTATCTTCACCAGGGTCAACCGATCTACTCTGATCACCTTTGCCAGGATCTTCATCTTCCTACAGAAAAGAAGCCAAAGTTTAGAGAGATAAGGAATAGCTTTCAAACTTCTGACGGCAGCTTACAGAAAATGCAGCTAGCCGATCCAATTTCAAGGACCAGGAAAACAAATGTCAAGGAAAAACAGCTTTTCAGTTTTTAAAGGTACCTTCACAAGATGTCCAGATGAGAGAGCAGATTTTACTCCTCCTTTTTAACAGATCAGGGAATCAACTCAAAGAAGGCCCGAAACTTTTCCCACAGTAGCCTGCAACTTATTTGTCTAGTTTTCCCTAATCCTAGGATCAGAAATCTAAATGACTAGTTCTCAATTTATAAGGAGGTTAGCTCAATGACACTAGTAAGGCATAATGATAAAGTTTCTCCAATTTCAAAGACTGAGTATTCAATATCCACCAACAGTGATATATGCATTACCTCACTTACTCCTCACAGTGACAGCAGGTACTATTTATCATCTCTTCTGTGGATAAGAAAATGATGTACAGAGCTAATATGACATAAACAGGACAAAATTTCAGGAAATCCAGCTACAGGGCCAACACTGTTAACCGTTCTCACTGCTGGAAATTAGCTGACTTTTATCATATTTATGGAGGTTTTACAAATGAATTCACCTAAAAACATGGCTTTGCTAATAGTAATTGCAAATACCACTGCAATAGGTCAAAACAAAAGAATATTTTTATGCTACAATAATCACTTTTAAATAATATCATTTAACACACAGTTTATACTCAAATGGATCCAAGTGTCCCAGAAATGTCTATTACAGATTTTTCTCCCCAAACCAGAACCTGATCACGGAGTCCATATACACCTCTTTAGTCTCCTTTAACCTCCGCCTCCTTTTGCAAGGAGGAGGACTTTTACAATGGCTTGTAGAGTATCTTCCAATCTCTATTTAACTCAATGATTCCTCATAATTAACTTCACATTAAACGTTTTTATCAAGATACTATAGGAAATAAATTTTTTGACACTAAGGTGTTTTCAAATTGTATAGGGTTTTTTCTATTAACCTTTTATCTGTGGTGTTTTTACTGTTTTAACTTTATGAAATTATTTTAAGAAAGCAGTCAAGTTTTAAATCATATTCTTTTATAATGGTTCCAAAGTTTAATTTCTACATTTAAGTTAATTCAACCTGTATTTCCTGGTAAGGATCTAGTTAGTGCTAGAAACTTAAAACAATAGTTTCCTTAAGATCAATGGATATAAAAGAAAACTTAAAAGTATGAAAACACTAAGGAAACTGGTTGTTACTTAAATAATGTTAAAGCAAATGTGTTAATACTGATTACAAAGGTAAGAAATTTTATTTCCCAAACCAGGGAAGCTAGTGAAAACTATGCTTATGATTAAGTTGCTTTTGTGTCATAGGTTTTACAAATTCACTGTGATTCAATTTAGAAAATTTTCTGGAGGAAAAGCAGGGAGAGGCTGGCACTGAGATGAATAAAAGCTGACAGTCTATGGAGTTTAATCATCTCAACGAGGAAAAAAGCAGATGACATTGTGGGACCAGTTACTGGAGTAACCGCCTCTAACTGTCTTAGCTTTAAGTTATACAAAAAACTTGTCCACAGTTTCAAAATTACTCTCATTCTTGATGTTAAAAAATTGGGAAATTCTTTGGCTTGTATTTTGCTCTCTTTTACTGCCACACAATACTATATACTCTAAATGATCACATCTTCTCACAAGCATAATATTCATCAATCAGTAAGTTAGTAAGTTGATGAATACAGAATACTTCTCTGAATACAGAAGTTTGATTTCCAAGACAAAATATAAGAACGATTCAGTTAAAAACCCATCTACACAAGAGTTTCTCGAAATACTTTTCCTTGAAATCCTGTCATGAATATTTTCATTTCATGAATGCATAAAAAACAGTAAATGTCACTATGGAGAAGTTCTCTGACTCACTGAAAAAGAAAAAACAGAACTATTCATTTTCAGCATTAAGGAAGTTATTTCAAGGAGATTAAGGATTAGTTACACATCTTAACAAAGAGATTACAGCCTGAATAAATAGTGGGGCCATTTATGCAAACCCTGCCTGAAATCCAACATCATCCAAGAGCTTAATTATTCTTGTCTCCAGAACAAAACCGATGTAACATGAAGTAACTGTAAAACTCAAAAGAGGGGACGAGTATGATCAAAAGCTTCATCAGCCGTGGCCTGGGGCTGCACTAACAGAAAAGGGAGTGAGAAAAGCAAAGCGAGGCGCTGTCCCTGCTCACCTGGAACTCTGTGCAGCTGGTTATTCACTCAAAACCAGCAGAGAAATGGAACCAGAAACCACAGTACATGAGAAATGCTTACCTGGGAGAATGGCAATGTCCTCTTGCTAACATTGTAGTGGGACAAGAAAGACAAACTTTTTGGTGAGGGAGGGGTTGTTAAACAGAAATTTAAAAAATCAAAAGGATCTCGGAATATTTCTAAGGACACTTGCAGTTCAGTATTTCTACTGCTGAACACACAGCACCCTTAGGAGTTACCACTGCACCAGGCTTAACTAAATAAATCATTACCTTTCCTCCTGTCGTGACTGTTTCTTCATCCTGCTCATCTGCAAAATCAAACATGGAACTGATTTAACAGGTAAATGCTCTTTGAATTACTTGCAAACTTTAAGGTTTAAGGAAACGATACTGGACAGAGACAAGGCAAAAAGGAGACCATTATTAAAGCAAATTCACCGTGAATAATTCAGTAAATGAGATCTGTACACAGGAGCATAGAGGTAAGTAAAAATTCAAAGCACAAATCATTAAAGATTTCCAACAATAGGGAATTTATAATTAATTACTGCTTGGCCTACAATCTTAGTCACGATCTTACTTAATAACAGGTAAGGGACTTGATTAGGGCTCTGGCCTCCTGAGGTTTAGTGAAACAAAGTAATGACATTTTGGTTCCCAGAGGAAATGAGTAAAGAATGAGGAGTAAAGATGGAGGTGATAATCAATCCCTATGGACAAACTTCTGGTAAGAATGTTTATATACCTTCTGAGGATAGGGACTCCAGGACCTAAATGCTAGCCTTGCAAAAGAACAGAGGCAAGTCCAGGTATAATTTAAATAGCTGACTTCCATAGCAGAAAGGCAGGTAACTTTCCACAGCGGAAAGGGTAAGAGGTTATAGCACAGATAATTACATTACTAACTTCCTGAAATATTTTTAATAAAATTATTCTGACTCTTGGCAGTGATGAAGCACTGTAAAGCTGAAGGAGAATACAAGGAAGCCATCTTTTCAGTATTTTGCCATTATTCATTCAACAAATATTTCTAAGAATCTGCTACTTTAAAAGCACTAAATAAACTGCTCAGACTAGGGGTCAGGATCTCTAGCCCACAGGCTAAATCTGGCCCACTGCTTGTTTCTGTAGGGAATCTGGGAAAGTGACTTGGTGTGTTCCTAACCGACAGTTAACCAACAGGAAGGGTGCTGCACTGTGCCTAGACCATGGCACAACACAGCTTGTGATAAATTTCTGCAGCCTGAAATTTTGGTGTTAGGCAGAGGGTACTCTACATGACCAATAAAAACACTGATCTTGGTCTCTCAAAGGGGCTTCTGGAGCTGGAAACACTGCATGTGTGCAGCCACAGTAAGAGTGCACTCTGTGCGACCCCTCGGGTGAGCGAGCGCGCGGGAGGAAGCCTGCACACAGACTCGGCCTGCATCATCTTCCCTGACAATCTGCTCATGCTGCCTATGTCGCTCTGATATATGTCAGCTGTGGGTACAACGAAATGCTGAGTTCCACCAGTCCTTCCAGACAATCTCCAAACCTGGGCATCGTCTTGCAGATTCCAATCTCACCTTCAAGTGAAGAGTGATTTTTACATTTCTCAAAGATGAAATACAAAAAATTAACTGAAATTCAAATTCAGTGTCCATAAATAAAAGTTTTATTGGAATAAGCCATGATTATTTGTTTATATATTACGGATGGCTGCATCTGCATTATAATGGCAAACTTGACTAGTTGTACCAGAAACCTTATAGCCCAAAATGCCTAAAATATTTACTATCTGGCCCTTTTTAGAAAAAAAGTTTGCCAACCCCTACTCTAGAGAATATAAATATATCCTTTAGACAATATAGTATTTTAACAGGTAATAAGGAACTAGCATTCCAACATTTAACTTAATTTTATGTATTATCTACTTTGCACCAGTCACTGTCCAAATGCTAAAGACACAATGATGAACAAGAAAAAGCCCCTGTATTTATGGAGCTTACATTCCAGTTATGAGTGGCAGGAGACTGAAGAGAAAATAAAAGATATCGAATGCTGACAACTGCTCTACGGAAAATAAAAACAATGTATTTCAGAGAGGAATTGAGTGGGTAGATCTTTCAGAGCCTATATACAGGGAAGCCTCTCTGAAAAGGTGACATTTAAGCTAAAACTTGAGAGAAGGACAAAGCAAGCATTTCACAGAGAGAGAAGCCAAATCAAAGGGCCTCAGGTGGGGATGTACCTGATGACTTCACAAAAGTGAAAGACCACTGCTGAGCATGAGGGAAGCTGAAAGAAATGAGCAGAGTGCAATGAGACAAAGCACTGCACCACCGACAGGCCTGGGTCTGCATCTGCGCTCTCTCTCTCAGTAGCTGTAAGCTCAGCAATGTTCCTGAACCCCAGAAGTCCTCACTTCCTAATCAGTACATTGGGGCTAACATGGTTTTATGCAAAAATGCAAACATATATAGAATGACACCTGACATGTACTCATGTAACATAAAGATGGACACTGTTTCTTGATTTTTAAGTTAGAAACAAATAGCCTCAACGAGGTAAGTGTGGTAAGTTACAGTATTACCAACATTAGTCCTCCTACTCTGCACAGGGACTATTTTTTCCGAGGAAGTGACTAACAGAAAGAAATCTGGGTAAAGCTGTCAAAAATGAACTTCTGTCCTTTGGGTCATAGTAAACCAAAGGATAATCAACTTCTCACTAGATACTGGTAGTACAATAATCAAATTATACTATTTCATTTTAGTTTAACAGATTTCATCCTTGAGGGAGTCTTGGTACCCAATGGAAAAACACTTCTGATAACACAATATACTGATTCCTAGATGATTCCTCCTGCCAGGTATGGGCAAATGCACTCTCACCTCAGCCCCTGGATACTGACCTTTCAGAGATCTCAAGAAAGAAATGACTGGGTATACTTAGCTTGGTAGCATATAAGGCAAAATATGGATCAGTTAAAACAATGAACAACTCTGAACAATAATTCCCAGTTGATGGATCAGTCAGGTTATAGCCAATGCAGAAAGTCAAATGCTTAAATGATCTTTGGGAAGCCTGTTGGTCCGTGGATGAAAAGTCAGGACAAAAACTTCAGATTCCAAAGAATCAAACCCTTCAGTTATGGTCAGCAGCATCTGCAAGCACAGCTCTCCTGACTGAGACCTCAACCTGCTCACTAACACAAAGGGAAGATCTCCTAAACCTACCACTAAAACTCTTTATCCAGTCAGGACCCCATTCTTTCCCTAATCATGGCTTCAATTTGACTCCTCTTATAAAGTCTACTACAAAAATACTAAAACAGACACCTCACTTTTAAAACAACAATTGTCTACTCCCTTAAAACTATAGAATAATTCTTTTTTGGGATTTAACTTTTAAAATATAAAATAGCATTCTGTTTAACAAACTGTCCAGTGAAGATTATTCAAGTCTTAAGAATATTTTACACTGCTACAGCACTGAGAATATAGAACAAAATACTGTATATCATTAGCTTTTGTATTCTTGACCTTTCAGTCAGTGGGTAAGTGATGGTTATAAAACAGACAATATAAACTTATAGACAATGAAAATTATTACTAGCTATTTAAAATCTATATTCTGTTACTAATGTTAAAGTTATGAAAGAAGCATTTTGATAGTAACTTTATTTTGTTGACCTAATAGCACCTCTCCATAAATTGTCATCAAGACAATTTTCTGCTTTACTTTCAACATAATCAAAGCCAGAATCATCCATTGATGTCCAATGAGAGGCTTGAAGCCAGAAAGGGCAGGATGTATTTAGTGAAATGAAGTAGAAAAACGCTCCCAAACACCCACTCATGTCTGCCATCAAGAATCACAGCAACTAATTTGAAATACACAATTCATCTGACTAGGAGATAGTAAAGCCAAAACTCTTTTTTCACATAAGATCTTGGATATCCCCATTAGGGCTAAAATCCCATCAATTCATAAATTTAATATATACTGAAAATACCAGGATCCCCTTTGACTTTCACAAATGAACAAAGTAATCAAGATCATTACTTCATACATAACTTTTATGAAAAAAGATGTTTCAAACTATTTTTAAAAACTGGAGCAAATGACTACACTCTTTTCTACCCTCACAGCACATCTAAGAGTTAGACGTTACTTCTGAAAATGTACTCGATAACCTGAAAATAGAGTAGAAGGATAATGTGACTCTCATTTTATCCTGTTAAGGAAACTTTCTGTTGGCTTACACAGTACTAACAGTCAACAGATTTTTGTTCTGAAGACATAATCAATTTGCACATATCATGAAACAAGTATTTCAAGGCAGATTATAAAAAGTCCTTTAAAAAAAAAAGTGCTTTAACTACACCTGTTTCTTTAAAACTCAGATATTATGATTTAGGTATCATACTACCACTTTTGCTGGTTTGCAGGAAAACATTATGCTGAGAAAAAGAAATTCGTAAGAATGCAAAGAATGGACCATAAGAAATTAAATTTCCTAATACAGCAGAAAACTAAACAACAGTGGTACTAACACAGACCTAAATATCTGTGCTGGAAAGCACAGCAACCAGAAGTGACACTTCTCAGTGAAGAAAGGATTCTCAAAGGAGCTGACGTATCTGAGACAAAACAACACGAAACTACAGATTTTGATTTTTACCTAGATCTGCCACAGTTCCTCCTTTAACAGGTGTATTTTCACTATCTTTCTTTGGGTTTACTAGAAAGAAAAAAAAAATCATGTTTTAAGGGGAAAGTTGTACTTGTTTTTAAGAAAACAGAATGAAGATTAAAACACACATGAATCTCAGGGCAACGCTATTGTCCTTCAGTACTCACCTTCAAGTAACTATCTTAAGCTCAGCTAAGAAATACTAACACTTTAAAGTAACAGACTATATTTTGTATTAATTAAATAAGCAGAACTCTTCTGTCATCATAAAAGTAAACAGTACAGAAATATAGAGAAAACCTTAAAATCAAAAGCATGTTTTATTATTTTTTTGTCTACTTGTGTATCCCCATTTGTGTGCCATTCATTAAGACAGACAAATTGAGGGAGCACTGATACCTTTCACACCTATGGAGACTTGAAAACATCCTGAGGGTTTTAAATCTTACAGGTGTAAAGTTATCATGCTGTGCTTAATCCTTAGTATTGTTTTTATCTCATGTTATAATGCACCTATGTATCTTTCCATGTATTTTTAGTTACATCTCCTTTATTTGTTCTTTCGGCTTCACCATAAGGCATGCAGGATCTTAGTTCCTCAACCAGGGATCAAACCCTGCACCCCTGCAATGGAAGCACAGAGTGTTAACCACTGGACTGCCAGGGAAGTCCTCTTTTATTTTTAAGAGCCTCTGTGTCCATGAGTGGATCATAACTAGCCCTATGTCAATGGAAACTTAGTTTATTTATCTTCAACTTTTCAATACTATGTAATCAACATTCTTTTATACTTATTTTTACATATACATGCAATTATTTAATAGGGATTCTGAAATTAAGACTGCTACTGGATGTATACTTTTTTATTTTGGCCACACCACGCAGCAAGCATGTGGAATCTCAGTTCCCTGACCAGGGACTGAACCTGTCTGTGTCCCCTGCGTTAGAAGCACAGTCTTAATCAGTGGACTGCCAGGAAAGTCCCTGGATATACCCGTTTTAAAATTTAAGAGATAGCCAAATCATGTTAAGTGGCTTCATCAAATTATACTTTCACTGAGAACTAGGGACATACAGCAAGGAGAGAATCATTCCATGGCACTGCTGAGAGTGATTAAATCACATCTAACATTCTCATGTCTACGCAAAAGGATACAAACCATTCTTTGGAAGAACCACTTCCTCTATGTTGGGTACAGGTGTTGGGTCTTCCATGTCCTTGGTAAGATCTTCTTGCTCATCTTCCTCTTTCTGACTTCTCCGCTTCCCATAAAGACTAGCTTGGCTAAGACACAAAAAATATGTAAACACAACAAGACTATAGCTACTTACAGCAAACAATTTCAGAGATTTTAACTACATTGTTGGAATCTATGCTCAGAATCACTTTAAGAGACAAACATAAATCCAAACAAATTAGATACATTCCCCAAATTACATCTAACCTGTCAAGAGGAAAATAAAAACTACAGGGCATAAGAAATGGCCACAGAAATCCTACAATTCAAACTGCAGACAGTATCCTAAAAGGCAATTACATCAGTGTAGCAAAACAAACCTCTGCAATGTAAATACAACAAGTATTTTAAAGATCATAAAGAATCACACAAGAAATTTTCTCGAAGATATATACAACTAACTGGGTGGTTTGCGTTTTTCTTTTGGTTTGTTTTTTGTATTCTTCCTGGCTCTCTGTATCATCCAAATACCAGGAACTGCAAAGTAAAATCACTAAAGGCAGTTCAGTTCAGTTCAGTTCAGTCACTCATTCGTGTCTGACTCTTTGTGACCCCATGAATCGCAGCACGCCAGGCCTCCCTGTCCATCACCAACTCCCAGAGTTTACTCAAGCTCATGTCCATCGAGTCGGTGATACCATCCAGCCATCTCATCCTCCGTCGTCCCCTTCTCCTCCTGCCCCCAATCCCTCCCAGCATCAGGGTCTTTTCTAATGAGTCAACTAAAGGCAGTACTAATATTTAAATTTGTAAAAATTCCCATTACTCTTTCATCAATTCAAGCAAATCAACATCTATTTTTAAAACTAACACACACAAGAAAGCCTATTTAAAGTTCACACAAGAATGGACTGATTCCTTATCTTGAAGAATTATAGGATGAAAATCATAAACTTCCTCATTCAATGTATGTGTACTGACACAAAAAAAGGAATACAAGGACAAAAAAAAAAAAAAAACCACCTTCAGAGAGATTGTCAAGTGACAGTTAAGCTAAACCTTGGGAACTAAAACAGTTCACTAAAAAGTTGGCAGTGTTTCAGGATGATGAGTAAAAGCATAAGAAAAAAAAATTCTGTTTTGGGCTAGTAATTTAGAATATATTGACAAGGAAATGAGAATGGAGAAATAGAGTGGAGACTCCTCACACTGCTGAGAATGCACACAGCTCTCATTCTCCAGGGACAACAGGGCACAGGTGAGACACTGTAAAGATAATTTTTAAAATAAAAATAATAGGACAGATTTTTAAGCCTATGAAATTAAAGGGAGCAGACAGAGCAAATACTTTAAAAGCAAGAAAAGATGAGAGGAAGACGAACGTAACAAATGTTAGGAAAACAGGTTTCAAGATGTTTTGGTTAGACAGGGTATTCTAAGGGGGAATTTAAATGAGCACAGTCCTGCTCATTAGAAGGCAGATGCATGTATTAAAGGACATGCACACATTTATTTTGGGAATGTCAATGTGGTGGGTTTTATACTCAAGAGTGACGCTTCCCTGGTGGCTCAATGGTAAAAAAGCCATCTGCCAAAGCAGGAGATGTGGGTTCAATCCCTGGGTTGGCAAGATTCCTGGAGAAGGAAATGGCAATCTAATCCAATAGTCTTGCTGGGAAATCCCATGAACAGAGGAGCTAGGCAGGCTACAGTCCATGAGATCACAAAAGAGTTGGACATGACTTAGCGACTATAAACAACAATACTTACAGTAGAGGCTAAATGCCACCACTGTGAGCTTCCTGGACATAACATTTTAGTTCTGTGGCCACTCCTGTCCTAGCAGCTCATCTTAGGCCATAAAGGGAAAAGCAACATATCAATTTCAGGCCTCAAAACACCTGGAAAAGTTGTTATATTACAGGTAGCTCTGAAATCACTGAACATCAACAGTTTCAGAATTTATGAAACTTACTTCCTAAATTTCTAAGTTTAGGAAATAAGGTTACCCTCCTCAACCCCCAAAGAATAATCTATTTTAACAACAAATACATGTGACTTGACAAAAATAACAAAAATCCTTTATGTATCTGTGACGATCTCATTATTATTATTTATGAGACTAAGAGTTTCTTAAATTCTCTAAAAGCTTCTACACATGTTTAAGAATGCTTCAAGGAACCTTTCAAGAAATAATGTGCCAAAGGCAAATGTGGCTAACAAAGTCACAAAAGCAAACTAACAGAAAGAAGATATTGGCACTGTGATAACAGCTAGAAATTCAACTAATTCACTACCACATGAGAAGAATCAATTTTGGAAACTCTCACCTTCTAAAACTAAACTGTAACCTTTAAGAAACTGGTTAAAATATATTTTGAGCTAGACAACCCTGAAATTATTAAGTACTTACTTAATATACATTTATTATGTACATAATATATACTATGTATTATGGACCATCTATTATCTACTTCAGGGCAGGAACTATACAAGGTCTTTAAAAGTCTCACTTAATCCTCACAAGAACCTATTCAACAGAAACCAAAACCTCCACCCAAGCAAGATTCACTACGTGACTTACTGAACACGGCACTATACCGCTATACCAAGCAGAACATGAACAGAGGTGTAAGTCACTCGGATCATGTACAGGACCAGCTGGTAAAAACAGCGGAAGACAGTACCAAGTCAGACATCCCTACAGCCAAACACCAATGTAAATGTAAAACTCTGGGAAGTCCTTTAGAGTCTGTTTCAGTGCCTCCTGCATCACGGTGCAGCTCTTACCCTTTCTTCCCACTCTTCTTCCGGGATTCTGTGGGTGTGGGGGGCGGAGGGGAAGGTGAATGTTTCCTCTTTCGAGCATTAGCTGATGCTTTTCTATCTCTTCTCTCTGGACTTCTGACTGGCTAGGAAGAAGGAAATGGAAATAAATATCAGCCAGCTTTGCTGATGCCTCAGTTTCCACAAATCCTTGTTCAAAACTAAGATTTCACAAAGAAGATATCAAACCTACTAGCTCAGAGTAAATGAAAGGCACAACATGAAGCATCCTGGACCACTAGCAGTCAGAAGACTTTCCCTACCTTCCAGGTGACACACCATTGATAGGTGTGTCCTATCCACAGGGATTCAAGCTATGCTACAGAACAGACATGCTCAAACCCCGTACGACTAAAAACTGTTCCTGTTCAAATTCTGCGTTGGGGGCGGGGGCGGGGCGGGGGGTGGGGCAGGACGGAAGAGAAGGGAGGGGAAACATTTACAATAACCACTGGAAAAAAACACGAAACTCATGCTATTAAATTAATGAAATACAAAGACTGGCTGAATAACCATGTGAAAGAGTACCAGAAACTACTCCTAGTTCATCATTAAAAGAAATAGATGATTCAGAAGAAGTAAAACTCAGTAAGACTGCAAGTTTTTATTTAAAAGCCAACCCACAGGAATAAAACTATTCCTGTTTGCAGATGACATGATCTTACATACGGAAAAAGAATCCACAAAAACACTATCAGAGCTAATAAATGAGCTCAGTAGTTGTAAGATGGGCTTCCCTGGTAGCTCAGCTGAAAAGAATCCACCTGCAATGCAGGAGACACCAGTTTGATTCCTAACTCGGGAAGTTCCCTTGGAGAAGGGGTAGGCTACCCACTCCAGTATTCTTGGGCTTCCCTGATGGTGCAGATGGTAAAAGCCACCTGCAGTGCGGGAGACCTGGGTTCGATCCCTGGGCTGGGAAGATTCCCTGGAGGAGGGCACAGCAACCTACTCCAGTATTGTTGCCTGGAGAATTCCCATGGACAGAAGAGCCCGGCGGGCTATAGTCCACGAGGTCACAGAGAATTGGACATGGCTGAGAAGCTAAGCACAGCACAGAGTTGTAAGATATCTTATCTTACATAAGTCAATACACAAAAGTCAGTCTGTAGGTGATAATTACCAATCTAAAAGAATGGATCATAATAAAGAAAATATACCTAAAAGGATCCAAAGTACTGTATCTGAGGTTAAAAAAAGAATCAGAGATTAAAACATCAATTAAACATCAACGTCCTCTGGTACCCTCACACTCTTTACAACTATCCATTTCCTTTCAGAACCTCTGTAGCATCAAATTCAGAATGTGGATTATCTTACAGGCCAATCAAAGAAGTTTGTTTGTGGCCACAACCAAGTGGCATACAGGATCTTAATTCCCCAACAAGAGACTGAACCCATTCCCTCTGCAGTAGAAGCACGGTGTCTTAACCACTAGACCACTGGGAAAATCCCCTGATCAGAGAAGTTTAAAAGAAAATCTAAACTACGTATCTCTGATTGTATAGTGGGAAGTTAAAGTTTTAAAGGGGGATATTAAATTAGTTTTTATATAATCCCCCCTAAAATAAGTGAATAAACAACCTAAATCTGAGCAGTAGATCTGAATATGCCAATTCAATAATGTACTGTAGAAATCAGTATTTTCAGTAACAAAAGACTCAGCCTGAAATACATTAAGGAGAAACAAATACATAAGCATTTAAGTGAGATGGCTGAATGGCAATGCTGACTCAATGGACATGAGTTTGAACAAGCTCAGAGAGATAGTGAAAGGCAGAGAAGCATGGTGTGCTGCAGTTCATGGGGTTGCAAAGAATTGGACATGACTCAGCAAATGAACAACAATGTAAGTGGGGGGGAAGAGTAAAATTAAAAAAAAATTTAAGTCAAATTCCAAAGAAAATAGGAACAAATTAAAAAGATATGAAAAAAAAAGATATGAAAAAGACTTAGCTTTTAAATTTTTTTTTTTAATATTTTTTTCTTAAAAATAAAGAATCTTCAGTGTGTGACAGTTTTGGTAAGAAAGTTTCAGGGCTGAAAATAGGTACGAAAGAACTGTATGCTCTAAATTATTTGTTAAATGTATTATGTCTCCAGATTTTTTTCAGAAAACTAAAATACAAGACAAAAAGCAAAAATGTTAAGTGTCCCCAGCAAAATAGACATCTGGACTCACAGGTGTCCATCTGAAAATGTCATAACCCAACACGAACACATGTCAGCCTTCTCAGACTCAAGTGTTTCTCTAGTGACACACCCACTTCTAACCTTGTAACTTATTTATAAAGAAACATGGATAAATATTTAAGTGGCTTACGGATTAAGTGTTAACTGTCAAGTTTGCCCACCTCAAAAGAGAACTGAACTATAATTTTTGAGACCTTTAAGGCCTACACTTTATTGTGTCTGCTAATTCACTTCAGTCATCTCCAACTCTGTGCGATCCTAGACTGCAGCCCACCAGGCTCCTCTGTTCATGGGGTTCTCCAGGCAAGAATACTGGAGTGGGTTGCTACACCCTCCTCCAAGGGATCTTCCCCACCTAGGGATAGAACCTGTGTCTCTTCCATCTCCTGCATTGGCAGGTGGGTTCTTTACCACTAGCAGTACCTGGGAAGCCCAACAAAGTTATTAAAAAATACTAAAATTAAATCAGTTTTCCTGTGGAAAATGATATTTAGTTTACAAAATTCATACTCAAGATCTAGAAACCAAAATCAGTAGTACCACCTTCCATACTGCACGCCCCACTTTAAACCTTAATGACTCTCTGAGACGATCACACTCCTTTTTGGGAGATGCCAGCTCCTGAGATGGTCATTATGGTCATTTAGTAACTTTTTATATACACTTGATGGCTGATGACCTTGCTTTGTACGTTAGTTTATTAATAAGATTTGATCAGATACAGGCCAAGGAAGAAAACACCAAGAGGAAAAAAAATGGTGCCAAACCAAATACCTCTTCATTCTTTGTTGAAATTCGCTGACGAAAACTCACGGGCTTCCTGTTCTCATCTACCTCATAATCCTCCTCATTCATCCATTCATTGAAAACATCAGTGTCCAAAATCCATTTTGCATGAACCTAAAATCACATCAAAGCATGAAGAGCTACACAAGTAATAAACTGCTACAATTTTAAAGTACTCAAAATGAAATAAGCTGATTTATTATACTTAAAGCTTCAATTACATATAGTTTAAAAATATAAGATTATTAATGATATATGAGTGGCAACTTGATTTTAACCATGTATAATTTTTATTCCATATCTTTGATTGAATAAATAGTAAAAAAGCATCACAAGTTTTGTGTGCACTGAGGTTTTGATAATCAAGACCCTTAAATTTTATAATGTCTTTTTATTTGATTTTATTAGGATATAACTGAAAAATAAAAGTGAAGACATTTAAGGTGTACACTGTGATTTGACATATGTACACTTTGTGAAGGATTCCCCACCCCCAGTGAATCCATCACCTCACATATTTATCTCACGTGTGTGTTAGCATGCACATATGAGAACATTTAAGTCTACTCAGCAAATTTCAAGTCTAAAATACACTGCTTTCAACTTTTTTCATATTTGACATTAGCTCCTCAGACCTAATTCATCTTACAGCTGAAAACTGGTATTCCTATTTCTCTTACTCCCCAATCCCTGGCATCCACTTTTCCACTGTTTCTAGGAATAAATTTTTTTTTAAGATTCCACATATAAGTGATACCATATGGTATTCATATTTCACTATGTGGTTCATTTCACTAATCGAGGCATCTTTATCTTCACAAAAATCAGTGATAAGAACATTCAAAAACAGAAGGCTCAAGATAATCATTTTCCTTATGCATAAAGGATATCTCTATATTTATACATTCAGTAACATTCTAAGTAATTACAAAAGATAAATTTTAGATAAATTTCAAATGTCACAGCATTTGAAAACGTACTAGTTTTTCAAAGTACTGAAAAGAATATATATATTTTAAAAGCAGAGCCGAAGATTCACATTGTACATTCTTTACTATCCAGAAAACCTTGGCAGAATTCTCTTGAGAAAGTATGTTAGGACAATATGAACAACTAACAATCATCTGTGCCATTCATTCTGCTGAACACCTTACAAACAATATGATCTCATTTAATCCCTCTAAAGCAATGCAGGTTAGCCTATCCAGTTTTCCAATCAGCAAAAGGGACAGAGTGTCAGTAAGCTGCCCACTTACTTACCCTACTAGAGAGAAAACTTGGATTTGCACTGAGTTCTGCCTAAGCTCTTAAACTACTATGCTCTATTAATCTTTCTCATAAAAATACCTTCGCATCAGAATATAATAGGTTGTACAATCTTAGATAAAACTAGCCCAGTTTCCTTACCTGTAAAATGATACTATGGTAAAATGCTATCAAGTCCAGTCCTAAACTTGTGATTTAGTTTATAAGTTCTACACTTATATGCAGAGTACATCATGTGACATGCTGGGCTGGATGAAGCACAAGCTGGAATCAAGGTTGCCAGGAGAAATATCAATAACCTCAGATATGCAGATGATACCAACCTTATGGCAGAAAGTGAAGAGGAACCAAAGAGCCTCTTCATGAAAGTGAAAGAGGAGACTGAAAAAGTTGGCTTAAAACTCAACATTCTACATGAGAGAAGACAGTTCATTTTCTTTTTCAAGTTTTCAATGAGAGAATGGTTTGGATATAACCTCTTAAATTACATTTAAAGGTAGTTTTTGTTGTTGTTTTTTAAAATCATCTTCCCCAAAGATAATGGGACAACACAAATATAGAGGAAATTGATATGCTTTACTCAAGAGTCAGACAGTAAACATTTTAGGCTTGCAAGCCATATGTTCGCTAGGTCTATTCAACTCTGCTGCTATAGTGTGAAATCAGCCACAGAATATATATAAATGAATGGGTTTGGTGATCTAATAAAATTTTATATGCAAAAACAGGTGGCTTTAATTTACCCAAGAGGATACAATTTGCCAATCTTTGTCAAAGGGAAACATAGTTTTATCCAATAGATACTCCATATACCAGACTTAGTAGAGGAAAAAATTTCAAAAAGTATTAATTACTAAATGATTATTCTGAGATGATTAGTGAAATCCAAAGAGAATTATACAACTTTACTGATATAAAAGATCTAAATAAATAGGGAGATAAATTGCTTCCACAAATTGAGAGACTCAATACTGTAAAGATGTCAGTTCTCTCCAAGTTATTCTATAGATTAAATGTAATTCCAATCAAAACTTCAATGAGTTTAATATGGACCTCAACAAACTGATTCTTAACTTTATACAAAACAGCAAAGACCCAAGAGACTCCTGAAGAAAAAAGTGGGAGTACTACTCAGAACAAATCAATTAATTAAACTTCATAACTGCCAAGAAACAAACCACGACTTGTATAAAAGCTTACTTTTGACAGAAATGGCATGGATCATTGGGAGAGAAATCCAGCTTCAGTATTTTCCTACCCTGAATGGAGAGCTGATCTAACACCACATCAAGAAAAAAATCTTTCCTACATCATAACATGTTAAAAAATTAATTCCAAGAAGATTAAAGATCTATATACAAAACGCAAAACTAAAGAATAATTTTTAAAGATGATATAGGAAAGTATCAAGATGACCTCAGTACTGAAAAACAAAAAGCTAAGCTTACTAGGAAAATCTATTTTTAATACAAGTAACTGGTAACATAACCATGCATATTATGATGCAGAATATCTAAATAACATCCACAAAGAAAAAAACAATGCAATGGAAAAAAGCAAGAGGTAGAAACAAGCACTCCATAGAAGAAACACCACAAGTCCAAGAATTCATGAAACGGTGACAAAGCTATGTGTCACAGATGCAGAAAACACACACACGGTTACCAAGGGAGAAAGGGAGGAGACTGGATTGACATGAACACACTACTCTACATAAAACATTTAATAAGAACCTACTGTGTAACTCAGGGAACTGCTCAATGCTCTGTAATGACCTATATGGGACTAGAGTCGAGGAAGGACTGGATCTATGTATAACCGATATATACTCTGCTGTACAGAAGAACACAACCCTGAAAATCAACTATGCTCCAATACAAATTTATTTTTAAAAAATGACTAGGTCAAGTGGCAACAATGAAATATGAACAGTAGACTAAAATGCTGTCAATGTTAAATGTACTCAATTTGACAACTGTACTGTGCTTATGTATGAGAATCCCCTATTCCTAGCAAATATACACTTACTGGAATAAAGACCCATTCCATATGCATCTTTTACCTCAAATATTTGGAAAAAATATTTATATGCAAGTATCAAATATAAACAGTAACTTAAAAAGGGAATAAAATGTTAACAGGCAAATATGGATGATGGGTATACAGGTATGCCAAGTACTATTCTTTTTCTTGCAGCTTTTCTGTAAGCTTGAAATCATTTCCAAATTAAAAGTTTATTTAAAGAAAGTGAAAGTGACTTCGCTCAGTCGTGTCTGACTCTTTGTGACCCCTGTAGCCTACCAGGCTCCTCCATCAATGGGATTTTTCAGGCAAGAGTACTGGAGTGGGCTGCCATTTCCTTCTCCAGCAAATCTTCCTGACGCAGGGACTGAACCTAGGTCTCCTGCATTGCAGACAGATGCTTTACCATCTGAGCCACCAGGGAAGTTTATTTAAAACAAAAAGTATTTTTTGCTAACTCCATATGGAATCTAAAGCTTAAAGGCTCAAAGGCTATCTCTCTGAAGGTCACACAATTGGAAATAGGCTGAACCAGGTCTAAAATTAATCACTTTGATCCAATTCAAGTGTTGCTTATCCTATATAAAAGTCAATAAAAAATCATGTATAATCACTCGTGGAAAATAGAGCTACCTGTAAAAATACTGGGATAGGGACAATACAAAGAGAGTCTGGAACATCTTTTGCCCCAGAAAGTACGAGGTATGCAAAAATGAATCAAACAATGCCAAAAGATCACAGGAGGCAGCTTAAAAGAGTTTCCACTGGCCAAATTCAGATAATTCATCAAAATGTAGTAGTACTGTCAGTGTTCTGTGAGTGCATGCAGAACACAGACACACATCAAGGGAGAATGGAAGAACTGTCCCCACTGTGAAATGCCACCTGCAAACAGACAGCATCAGTAACAGAAATTATTCGTGGATGAGCAAACCTTCAGACAGAAATCTAATTTAAAAAAAGGATATCTCTACACTCTCAAAGTTTTTCCCTATAAAATATCTTAAATGTTGATGAGAAAAATGGTAATGTTACAGTGAGAAAACCAGGCAGATAGTATCTTAACAAATGATTCAATGATCAGCCATAATGGGGAAAATGGACAACATGAGGTGCCCGGTATGAGGCACTGAGGATACCACATTAGATATGGAATACTGCAGCCCAAAATGCATAGCGTGAACATAACAATGAGGAATATACAAACTAAAATTCAAGGACATTCTAGAACTATAACAACAACTAACCTATGTATTTCAAAAATGACAATGTCACAGAAGGAAAAAAAAAAGCTGAAAGTTTCAGATTAAAATAGAATAGAGATGTAACAACTAAATGTAATGTGTGATCCTGAACTGGATCCTGCATCAGGGTAAAAACTTAAATATACTATAAAGCTTCTTGTATCAACGGGACAATTCATGAAAATGGAATATGGGCCCTGTATCAGGTAATAAATTATTTCAATAATTAATAAGAGGGGAATCTGGAAGAATATAAAACAATGCTTTGCTTTGTACTACTCTTGCAACTTTCAAATTTATTTCCACATTAAAAGCTGAAAACATTATATAGAAATGAACAGTAAGAGGAGTCTATATAAAAGTCATGCAAGCACTGCTCCTAGCCTTCCTAAATGACATCAACGATGTTCAACTCCACTTCTAACACTCCTTTCTCAATATCTCAAACTACAATCTAACGTGGCTTTGAGGTCTCCTCAAACATCACTGCAGACGTCTGATCTAAGACCTGGATAATGAGGTCTTCAAGACAATAGGTATTTCCTAATAGGATGATGAGAAAGAAAGGTCATCACTCTGTATATATCTCTTTAAAAAATCACTGTTGTTGAGAATAGCTAAGAAAAGCTATTAACTTATGAAACAGTAAATTTTGTTTTTACTTTTTAAAAAACTCTGTTTTAAAAAAGATCTCTCACCTTCCATGGTTTTTCTGGAATTGGTGGATCTTCAATTTCTGCATCAACATCATTACTATGGACCCAAGTATCATAGCTATAAAAAAAATGGAAAAAGAAATTAGAACCCAAATTCATTCACTTTGATCTAGAGGTACAAACACATTTTAGAAATACTATTAGGATCCAATAACAGCAAATTATCACAGTCTTTTGTCTCTAACACTCTAACAAGAAAACTCTCCTGCAGAGGTCTACAGTAATCTTCCCAGTGTGAAACCCAAAGGTTAAGCCTCTGCACAGAATTTTAACATGTTAACCACTCCTCACAGGATGGCCCTTACTTGCCCTCTGAGACGGAGCTAGCATCTGGCATTCCTTCTGGACACTAGCCTCTCCTCCGTCTCTATTGCTAGTTTCTCCTCTCCTCCCAAACCTCTTTAACACTGAAGCACCAAGTTTCAGTTTTTGGAACAATCCTCTTACCTATTCAATTCCTTGATGATCATCTCATGCAGTTCTACAGCTTCAAATATACACTGATGACTCGAAATCTTATATCTGCCTATCTGCCCTCTCCTCTGAATTCTGGACTCATAAATTCAACTGCCAATTCCCACATCTCTCATTATATGTCAAATAAATCTTCCAAACCTAATACACTCAGAAGTCAACATATAATGCCAACCCAATCCCAACAACATGACCTAGCCAAAATCCCAATTCCACTCTTGTTGTTGTTATGGCCAAAATCTCTGGACGACATCCTTGACTTCACTCTCAGTTACATCCTATAATCAAATTATCAACAACTTCTACCACTTCCACCTTCAAATTATGTCTGGAATATCTAACTTCTCACACTTCCATTCTGGCCCAAAGCCCCTGGAATTCCATTTTTCACAGACCAACCAGAGCAGTTTCTTTTAAAAACTGTCAATCCACACCACTCACTCTTTAAAACCTTCCAACTTGCACTGAACTCAAGAGCTAAAGTCAAAATCCTTACACTGGTTTGCCAAGGCTACATGATCTGGTCCTATGACCTCATCTCCTAGTACTCCCTTCTCACTCACCCCACATGGGCTTTAGTAACGTGCTTTAAATACACCAGGTGGGGGCGCCTTCATACCCTTTATATATGCTCCTCGCTACCCAGATATCCATCTAGCTCACTCCCTCCTGTCTTCACATGTCTCTGCTCAATGGTTCTCTTATCAGTGAAATCCAGCTCACTGATATAAATTACTCCCCACCACCGCTACAATTTTGAAATAAGTATAAAATTACCTACCAAGTTACCTACTTTATCAATGCTCCCTTACTGACCAGTAAATTATTATAAAACTAAGCCATAAGTGAATGAAACACAAATATGGTAACAAGCAACGGCTGGCTTTAGCCACTTCTCAGAAGTTAGTTCAAAAGCATTCGGCACAAGTATAGCTCAACGTATCTATAAACGCACTGTGCTAAGTTTTCTAGGAACATTTAAAAATGAACTGGCGGAAAAAAGTTCCTTTGCCAAATAATTAACTATAACAAGTAAAGATTATGATGGTGATTAAGCCTTACATTCTTTAAGTCTTAATGAGAAAATGTTACACGAGAAGTGAGGGCACAAACTAAGTTACTAAAGAAAGTGAACTAACAAGGTCCCTTGAGAAGATAAGACATGAGCTAGCCATTACAATTTATTTGAAACATAAACAAAAGGCTAGCAAAAAGGCTAACATGTCTTATCAAGTGTTAACTATAAAATTCGTTTCAATCGTATGCTTTATGTAGCTTGTCATAAATTTGAGTTTCCACCTAAGTGTTTCAAACTGCAATAGTTCCTGTAATAGTTCTTATAATGCTGAAAACTTTAATAGTGCCGTGAATACCTAGAGCCTTGAGATAAGAAATGTTCTCTAGAAAGAATTTACCTAAATATTATTTTTAAAAAATGTCAGTTCATGTAAAGTGGTCAATTATAGTTCAGAAAAGGTTGACAAGCAAGCTAACTTGATCTTGGTTCTAATTAACTCAACTTATATAAAAACTGTTCTTTAAATTATGAAGATACCTAAAAATGTATTTCTTTCTCAAAAATATATATTTACAAGTAAAATAAAGTCACTCAAACAGATTAACTTAAAAACACCACATAACCAAGACACTATATGTCTCCTGATGAAGAACATACAGCTATGCAAGTTTTGCTCCTTTCCTAAATTGAAATAGATTCTGATCAACTCTAGACCCAGAGAATGAAAAAACGTTCAAACACATCACAGTGACGCCATAAAAAATTCCAGTGTGGTAAAATCTGTATGACAAACCACCCAATTTCTTGAGTAATACACTGTAAGGAGGGGTGAAGACACAGGGAGAACCCACAGGGAGAACTGAAAAATACCTAAGAAATAAATCGACACAAGATGTGTTTAACTTCTAACTCTAACAAACATCAATCTGATCAATTAAACAAATGTATCAGGTGTCAATGACTTGATATTTGATATTAAGGAGTTCCCTGAAATTTTTTAGCTTTGAGAGTGGCTGTGTGCTTATTTCTTAAAAAAAATTTAAAAAAAACTCTCTTTCAGAAATGCATACTGAAATATTTATAACTGAAATACTGAAATGATGTCTTGGATTTGCTAACAAAAATGTGGTAGCAAAGGCTAAACGTGGATGTGGATACAGGTGAAAGAAGACTGGTGTGACATGAAAAACCCACAACGGAGAGTCTGTTCACTTGACAGAAGTAAAATGAAAACTTGAACAGCTCTACCACAGGATTAAGATAAAGGATGTGAAAGGTTATCCTTTTCCTACATGCCCTCTATGCAGCCATAATATTAAATAACAAGAGCCACTATTTTCACTGACATTAGTTTTTGTTTATAACATTAATTCACATTTAGATACTGAAATAGAGTATGAGTTATGGCACATGCTTCATTTTACACATAATTTCATCCTTAATAAAGAATCCATAAACTGAAAAATAAAATGGCCTATTTTTTAAAAATAAATAAAACAAGTCACTAAAATATCCAGAAGAAAAATTCATTTCCTAAAGGAAACAAATCCAAATTAGCAGTCTAATACCTTAATGAAGGACTGTTTTGACAAACACAGCAAACTTATCAGTTTAAGATAAATAAAGCCTGTGAACTCCACTGCAATAAGTTAATAAATATGAAAGTCAGTAAGAGAATACTCAAAAGAAGTGAGTTCACTGACTAAAACAAATCAACAAAATTGGTACTATTCAGAAAGCAAAACTATATATAAATGACTCTGACGAAACCGTTTATATACCAGGTCTAAGGACATTTCAACATTACCTGTCAGGGTAAAACCCCCAGTGCACTAACACCTGCTTGTCTTTTCTCATCACAGGTCTCAACCACTCTTCTGAAAGGGAAAAAAAGAAAAAACTTTAGTCAATCTGACAGAAGAGATGAATCAACTACTTTTTGGACTTAATTTCTACCTAGAGTTTTTGATTTGCTAGAAGCTCCTCCAAAAATTCCTTACTAAGGGGAGGTTTTTCAGTGGTTATTCAGACTTACTAGATTCTAAGTCTATTATCCATTACTCTTGATAAAACCAACTGTCTACTTCAGTAAAATACTCTCCCCCTCCCATCCACCTGCCTATTTGTCACCAGATCCACCCAAATCAAGACCACTATGTTCTTTACAGCTTCCTTTCCCACACAGAACCTCTCCTTCCTTTTTCTGGTAAGCTTTGCAATTATGACACATCGTTCAATGTGTAAGTCATGCTTCAGCTCCTTGATCAAAGTTTTACCAATTGCTCTTTTCCCTCCAGATTCACTTTCTCTGGTATCCTATGGCACTTCATAGTGCTGTATCAGAAGTTTAATCAATAATACTTGATTATATGTGAATGACTTCCTGTTAATTTAGCCCACCCAACAAGAGTGTAAACAATATGACATAGTGTAGATACTTTCAAGTTTCCTGAACATGTATGTGCACATGTATATATCAGATGATTCTTGCTGATTTAATCATAGCTGAAACTTATCTGCATTTCAGTACTTGTTATGATTCCTTTGGTAGCTTAGAAAATTCTGGCAGCTTAAAAAACTTGTTTCCAGTACTAAAAAGGAACTAATGAGGTAATAAGCCCCTTGAATCTCACATAACAGCAGAACAGAAAAACTAAGTGAAATCAGCTAAGTAAAATTGGCTTCTCATTGCCAACATCAACAAGAAATAGCCCCAGCTTCACTGACTAATGCCATGAAGTCCACAAGCCTATAGGACAGGTTTCTGTCTCAACTAACTCAGTGTTGATGGGAAACCAGCATACTCTGAAAGCCTGGGCACCCACAAATCAAAGAGTTCACTAAATGGCTTGTTGCAGCAACAGCAAACTTGTGGTACAGCAGACGGACACTAGAGAGAGCAAGAGATTATAGTTTCCTGAAAGAGAAACTAGCAAAGCTCTCTGAGAAGTCACATACTCAAACTGTCTGATGGATGCCACGTCTCAAGCTGAGCTGATCTGTGCAAGTCTTCGCCTATACCAAGCCAGGCCATAAAGACTGAGAGATGCAGCTCTTTGTCCAAATGCACAAAACACAGCAGGAAAAACAAAACAAAACAGGAAGTGAAAGGGGAAAAGGCCCAATCAAAGGAATGAAATGAATCTTCAAAGTCAATCGTAAAGAAACAAACATCTATGGATTACCTGACAAATTCAAAATCATCAAAAATCATCATTTTAAAGAAGCTCAAAGTACTATAAGAGAACACACTTAAAACAACTAAAAAAAACTAGGAAAACAATGTATGAACAAAATAAGAATATCAACAAAGAAATTCAAACCATAAAAAAAGAACCAAACAAATTCTGGAGTTTAAGACTATAAGAATGAAACTGAAAAATTCTCTAGAGGGGTTCAACATCAGACTTGGCCAATCAGAATAAAGAAAGCAAACTCAAAATCTGGTGGTTTGAGGATACATGTGTATATATAATGGAATCCCTTAGCTGTATACTTGCTAATCAACTATACTCCAATATAAAATTTAAAAAGTTTTTAAAAGCTAGTCATTTAAAATTATCAAAGTCAGAGAACAAAAGGAATTAAGAACAGATAAGAAAACCTAAGGGGTTTTTTTGTCTATCTAAATAATTTATTTTGAACAAGATTTAGTCTGTTTTCCTCTTCTAACCCGTATCTCAATTTTTAAAAATTCTCTTTTCTTCTCTGACGAAGTACACATTCTTTCTGCTAAAAGCAGTAATTCAAGCCATGTTCTTAAACCAATCCCTTTATCTCTATCAGGTCTTAACTAAACTATGTGCTCTGCCCAGAAATATACTGTAAAGCCATCAATGAAAGACACACCCCAAACCATCTCCACTTTCTTTTCCCTGCCATACATTCTGGGGCAATGATCTTCCACCAACTCTACAATTTGCTCTCATTTGCAAGTTACTGAAATTCCATTTCAAAGGTTATCAATTATTTCCTGACAGACTAAATGCCTTGTATCAGGCTTTACTTTCTTGGAGAAAAATTCCACTGCCCACAGCTTGTATTTGGAAATGCTTTCCTTATCTTCCCTTGACTGGTAAAGATACGGACCATCCTGGTTTGCCACCTGACTTATCTCCTGTGCTCTCCTGATATGTGGATTTATCCCATTCAGTGGTAACGCATCCCCTCATCCAGCAATTTAATTGAGACCTTCCCAATGGATCCTGTTCTCTAACCAGTTTCCTTGTATCAAGTATCCCAGGAATCGGCTCCCAGGAAAATTCTCCTACTACAGCCAATAGCTACATGTTTTTCTTCACCAAACCATCAAAATTTGTTTACCCCCTGCTTCACTCACCAAATAAAAACAAAGCTCTTTAAATAAGACTCATGTTCTCTCACCTACTCACTCTATTCCCCACTATCCTGATACACAGTCAAACTTTGCCACTTGATTTTCCTCAAATTTCATAATTTATTCCTCTATGGTTTTATTTTGTGCCCCCTTTAGGATACCATATTCAAAATATTACTAATATCTTAAATATCACCTTTTATTTTAAACTTAATTAATCTATATAAAAGGCACACTGCACTTGCAAGAGTTTTACAACATGGTTGTAATGTGCTGTGGCTGCATTGTTATCATCCGCAGATGCCTCAAATGGTATACATAATGAGCCCAACACAGAGCTTTGCTGAGAGTCAACATTAACTTGTCAGCTTTCTAAGGTAAATCCTATAGTGTGAAGAAGAATCTTACATTAAAAAATAGCTTCCAATATATTAAAATTAAAATGCTATCTCCTAACAATTACTCTAACTACTGACAGCAACATACCAAATAACCATCAGTATGCAGTAATCAAGGTTGTGTTAAACAAAGGAGAAAAAACTAGCATGAATAAGAAATCTAGATATAACAATTACAGTTCAAATCTTTTGTAAAAGGTAATTTTTTCCAGAAAGTTCATAACTTAAAAGTTCCATACCAGTCTCATTGGAGGAGAGTTAGCCAACAACAGAATGCTATATACACAGCTAATTCACCACCTCCACCTAGTGGAAACCAATTGCTATTACCTAAAAGGATAAAAATCTGAGAAACCACCAATTAAACAGGGAAGGCAGAATGAGGTTTCACGCTTTATAAAAGTATCATAATCACAGAGCTAAAACTGTGACTGTTACAAATCAAATCAAGATTTCTGCATCAAAACAGATAATGAAAAGACCTAAATGTTATAGCTAAACTATAAAACTATTAGAAGAAAGCCAAGTATAAAACTTCATAACTCTGGATTTAGGAAATGGTTTCCTGAATTCAACACCAAAAGCACAACCAAGAAATCTAACCTCTTAAAACTGTTTGTAGTATCTATTGGATCTGTAGTGATGTCCCCCTTCCATTCTTGACATTATTCTTTCTCTTTCTGTCGCTTATATGCCACACGATTTTGTCTTATTAGTTTTTTCTAAGAACCGTTTCTGATACTGCTCATCATCTTGCTATTATTACTTTCTAGTTCTTAAGTTTTGCCCTTGTCTTTATTATTTATTTCCTTCTTCCTTTAGGTTTAACTTGCTGTTGTTTCTCTAAATTCTTCAGATAAATTTCTTGTGAACCACTGAATTTTCAGTCTTTCTTTTTTCCTAATATATGCATCTAAAAGATAAAAATTTCCCTCCGAGCATAGCTTCGGCTGCATCCTACAAAATTTAATGTTCTCACACTTTATTATTCACTTCATAATTATTCAGCTCCAAAGTTTTCCCATTTCCATTACAGTTTTTTCTTTGACCCATGGATTATATGGCAAAATATTTCTTAGCTTTCAAGCATACAGGGATTATCTGGTAATCTTTTTGTTATTGACTTCTTGCATAACTGCACTGGTCAGGAAAAAAACACTCAGCATGGGGTAATTAGTAATTCAAATTTGATATAATTTGGCTTTTCATATAGATGTCCTAAAGGGATATGATGTGCTTACCAGAGACTTGATCTCTATAAGAGATCTAATCTCAATCTAAATTAGTTAACCTGGTTGATTAACTCACAGCTTGTTTCCCAACTTTCCAACCTTTGAAAGAATGGTTAGCACAAATCTTTGTAAAAGGTACAAAATCAGTCTTCATAGGTCTAATGAACTCTGGCCAATGACAAAATTAACTTTCATGACAGCAGAGTTAAAGATCAAAATCTGAATCACTATAAATTCACCAAACTAAAATATTGCTGAGGGGCCCTGTTTAGACAGTAAGCCAATCTTTCCAAGAGATATTCCTCTGTCTTGCAATTTTTCTTAATTTTCAGAACACAAGAGGCACAGCAAACATTAACAAAGTTAATACATAAGGCTGGCCTAGACTTAACAACCAGATAACGATTACCAACAAAGAAGTAAGTCTAATGATTAGAAAATTGGATGTCATAGAATTAGCTTGCCAAAAAACTCAGCAGAAAAAAAACCAACCCTATGAACTTAAATTATCGATGAAATTTAATGCTTAAAAGTCTCTTATCTTTAAAAAGCTGGTTATACTGTTTAAACCACTTGCCATAACTTAAAAATCTAGTAAAATATCAGTTTATTAGTTCATAACCAAAAACTAACTTACCATCCTCTTGTGAAGAAGGATATGGATAAACGTGGTGGGAAGCTTTTGACTTCTCATCAGTAAATGTTCCCTGGAAAGCAAATGAACAAGTAATGTAAAAATAAAACATTTGACAAACAAACTATGAGATGCCAGATGCAAACTGCCTGGGGATTACAGGGGCATTATTCTACATTTTAAATTTTAGCAGCATTATTTTAAGACTATAATATTTTTATTATTTTTAGTCAACAAAAGGGATAGTGATTAACAAGAAACAAAAGCAAATTATCTATAGACAGTTTATATTTTGTATAGGAAAATAATGCTAATTTATTAGCTAACTCTTGGTTAATTCTCTCCAGAAGTCTCTCTCTGGGTAACTTTATCAGTAATTTGAATACCTTCAACTAATTTTGCAAGCTATTCCAAAGTCATCACAAATTATCAATGTTACTTGAAGTGAATCAATGCAAGTTTAAGGCCATGAGCCGTAAGCTTAGGCCACATACATACAAGACAGACATCTGACTTCACTCCAGTATGTATGTATGCTACTGCTGTCTTAAGTCAATGATAAAACGCTGAAGTCAAGTTCTGGCTAAGTCACAGGTAGAATACTACATACAGTCTAGAACATGACATGGAAGTCAGCTATTTTTATTTATTATTATTTTGGGGGAGAACATACGGGGTGCAGGATCTTAGTTCCCCAACCAGGGATAGAACCCATGCTCCCTGCATTGGGATCACAGAATCTTAACCACTGGACCACCAGGAAGTCCCATGACTTGAAGTCGCTTACACACAAAAATGCTCATTCTTGGGACTTCCCTGGTGGTCCAGAGGCTAAGACTCTGCGCTCCCAGTGCAGGGGGCCTGGGTTCAATCCCAGGTCAGGGAGCTAGATCCCATACACTTCGACTGAAGATCCCCCATGTTGCAACCAAGATCCAACTTGGCCAAATAAAGATATGCTTTTTAAAAAATGCTCATTATATATCTGCAAATCAATCAATGTAATACACCACATTAACAAATTGAAAGATAAAAACCATATGATTATCTCAATAGATGCAGAAAAAGCCTTTGACAAAATTCAACATCCATTTATGATTAAAACTCTCCAGAAAGCAGGAATAGAAGGAACATACTTCAACATAATAAAAGCTATATATGACAAACCCACAGCAAGCATCACCCTCAATGGTGAAAAATTGAAAGCATTTCTCCTGAAATCAGGAACAAGACAAGGGTGCCCACTCTCACCACTACTATTCAACATAGTTTTGGAAGTTTTGGCCACAGCAATCAGAGCAGAAAAAGAAATAAAAGGAATCCAGATAGGAAAAGAAGAAGTGAAACTCTCGCTGTTTGCAGATGACATGATCCTCTACATAGAAAATCCTAAAGACTCTACCAGAAAATTACTAGAGCTAATTAACGAATACAGTAAAGTTGCAGGATATAAAATTAACACACAAAAATCTCTTGCATTCCTATACACTAATAATGAGAAAACAGAAAGAGAAATTAAGGAAACAATACCATTCACCATTGCAACAAAAAGAATAAAATACTTAGGAGTATATCTACCTAAAGAAACAAAAGACCTATACATAGAAAACTATAAAACACTGATGAAAGAAATCAAAGAGGACACAAACAGATGGAGAAATATACCGTGTTCATGGATTGGAAGAATCAATATTGTCAAAATGGCTATACTACCCAAAGCAATCTACAGATTCAATGCAATCCCTATCAAACTACCAACGGTATTTTTCACAGAACTAGAACGAATAATTTCACAATTTGTATGGAAATACAAAAAACCTCGAATAGCCAAAGTAATCCTGAGAAAGAAGAATGGAACTGGAGGAATCAATCTGCCTGACTTCAGACTATACTACAAAGCCACAGTCATCAAGACAGTATGGTACTGGCACAAAGACAGAAATATAGATCAATGGAACAGAATAGAAAGCCCAGAGATAAATCCACGAACCTATGGTCACCTTATCTTTGACAAAGGAGGCAAGGATATACAATGGAAAAAAGACAACCTCTTTAACAAGTGGTGCTGGGAAAACTGGTCAACCACCTGTAAAAGAATGAAACTAGAACACTTTCTAACACCATACACAAAAATAAACTCAAAATGGATTAAAGATCTAAATGTAAGACCAGAAACTATAAAACTCCTAGAGGAGAACATAGGCAAAACACTCTCCGACATAAATCACAGCAGGATCCTCTATGACCCACATCCCAGAATTTTAGAAATAAAAGCAAAAATAAACAAATGGGACCTAATGAAACTTAAAAGCTTTTGCACAACAAAGGAAACTATAAGCAAGGTGAAAAGACAGCCCTCAGACTGGGAGAAAATAATAGCAAACGAAGCAACAGACAAAGGATTAATCTCAAAAATATACAAGCAACTCCTCCAGCTCAACTCCAGAAAAATAAATGACCCAATCAAAAAATGGGCCAAAGAACTGAACAGACATTTCTCCAAGGAAGACATACAGATGGCTAACAAACACATGAAAAGATGCTCAACATCACTCATTATCAGAGAAATGCAAATCAAAACCACAATGAGGTACCATTACACGCCAGTCAGGATGGCTGCTATCCAAAAGTCTACAAGCAATAAATGCTGGAGAGGGTGTGGAGAAAAGGGAACCCTCTTACATTGTTGGTGGGAATGCAAATTAGTACAGCCACTATGGAAAACAGTGTGGAGATTTCTTAAAAAGCTGGAAATAGAACTGCCATATGACCCAGCAATCCCACTTCTGGGCATACACACCAAGGAAACCAGATCTGAAAGAGACACGTGCACCCCAATGTTCATCATAGCACTGTTTATAATAGCCAGGACATGGAAGCAACCTAGATGCCCATCAGCAGACCAATGGACGAGGAAGCTGTGGTACATATACACCATGGAATATTACTCAGCCATTAAAAAGAATTCATTTGAATCAGTTCTAATGAGATGGATGAAACTGGAGCCCATTATACAGAGCGAAGTAAGCCAGAAAGATAAAGACCATTACAGTATACTAACACATATATATGGAATTTAGAAAGATGGTAACGATAACCCTATATGCAAAACAGAAAAAGAGACTCCGATGTATACAACAGACTTGTGGACTCTGGGAGAAGGCAAGGGTTGGATGTTTCAAGAGAACAGCATCGAAACACGTATATTATCTAGGGTAAAACAGATCACTAGCCCAGGTTGGGTGCATGAGACAAGTGCTCGGGCCTGGTGCACTGGGAAGACCCAGAGGGATCGGGTGGAGAGGGAGGTGGGAGGGGGGACCGGGATGGGGAATACATGTAAATCCATGGCTAATTCATTTCAATGTATGACAAAAACCACTGCAATGATGTAAAGCAATTAGCCTCCAACTAATAAAAATAAATGAAAAAAAATTAAAAACTAAAAAAAAATAAAAAAAAAAAAACCAGATTGAACATCTGGAAATTCACAGTTCAAAAAAAAAAAAAAAAAAAAAGACTTCTGACAGCTCAGACTCAGTTTCTTTGTATGCTGTGAAAGTATTTGACATAAACCATGAGAAGAACTATCATGAAAGATGTCTGCCTTAATCTTGCTGAAATTAAATAAGGGAGAAATGAAAAAAAAATAAAAAATGCTCATTATAGAAACCATAAAAATGACAAGAAGTCTTAAAACCAGGTATAAGAAGCACATTAACATATTACCTAATTTTGTGTTTGACAATGAGTATTTACTAAATATTATAATCAGAAAACACTATAATGCAACTTTCAATGGAAAGAAAACTCTATAAACTTCTCAGATTTAGGGCTATCTAAAAATGACTGTTGTGCTTGTGCATGCACAATCGTGCCCAACTCTTTGCAACCCCATGGACTGTAGGCCACTGGGCTCCTCTCTCTATGGAATTTTCCAGACAAGAATACTGGAGTGGGTTGCCATTTCCTACTCCAGGGGATCTTCCTGGCCCATGGATCAAACCTGCATCTCCTGCATTGGCAGGCAGACTCTTCACCACTGACCCATGTAAAGATGAAATAGCTACCAAATAAGGCAAAGAATTCTCAATCACCAGAGTGTTAGAGCACATTTGTAACAGCCAGAGGAAAGGTTAAAAAGGGAATGTCAACATCTAATGCGTGAGGCAACAGTCAGAAGGGCACACTATCGAGGACTCTGGCCTCTAGAGTCCATCAGACAGGGCTGGGTTTGCACCCCAGCTCCACCATGTACTACTTAACTGACATGGGACAGGCACCCAATATTTCTGTGCTTCAGTGTCTTCTGCGGTGACAAAAAACCTTTTTTACAAGAATTTTGTTAGGACTAGGTTAATAGACACAATGAGCTAAGAATAGTGACAGGCACACTGTAAGTGATCAATCAATCGCGTTATTAGTGCATTTTGAATGCTTGAGCAAAGGCCTGATCATCTGATCTTATTATTACTTTCATAGAATGTTACAGAAGAGATCTTGAAACCAGGAAGCTCTTTTTATTTCTCTGGAGATTACCCTTAGAAAACAATCATTGAGTCAGATTTCCTAAGAACTATGACACCTAAATGTTCAGTATTAAATTGCAGGAAAATATATAAACTTTTTCCAGGATGATTTCAGAGCAATAAGAGTATGTTATTTTAGCTTGAAAGCAGAAACCCACTGGTTAACTTGTTCCATTTATGCCCTCTAACATTCCACCTGTATTTAAGCTACACTAGATGGTCACTCCAATAAAGAGATGTCTAAAAGAAAAAGATTGACTTGTTCAAAGTCATAATACTAGTTTAAAAGGAAAAAAAAAAAGAATTCCACTTGAGACTGCTTGATCTAAAGGCACAATCCTATCACTCTTCTCTTTTGTACAGATGTTATAGGTAAGAAAAAGACTGTACTAAATTTCCAATTTTTAGAAGTACAATATCAGAGGGATTTCTCTGGTGGTCTACTGATTAACAGTCTGCTTCCACTGCAGGGGGCACAGGTTTGACAACTTGGTTGGGGAACTAAGATCCTGCGTGCTGCACAGTGCGGCCAAAAAATTTAAAGTGAAAATATAGCTGGCCATTTTCAGCTCTGCGGTGATCTAAATGGTAAGGAAATCTGAAAAAGAGGGGATACATATATATGTGGGCTTTCCTAGTGGCTCAGCAGTAAAGAATCCACCTGCCAATGCAGTAGACACGGGTTCAATCTCTAGATTGGGAAGATCCCCTGGAGGAGGAAATGACAACCAACTCTAGTATTCTTGCCTGGGATATCCCATGGACAGAGGAATGTGGTGGGCTACAGTCCATGGAGTCACAGAGTCAGACACAACTTAGCAAGTAAACAAACTATCGTGTATATGTACAGCTGATTCACTCTACTATATAGCAGAAACTAACACAACATTGTAAAACAATTATACTCTAATAAAATTTTTTTTAAAAAAGCAGTATTAGCAATATTTGTTTTGAGAACTTAGAAGATAACTTTACTAAATGCTAAGATATAATTCAACCAGCAATTTCTCTTGCAGCAGGAAAAAAAAAAAAAGATATTTCATGAGGTTTCTCAACCAATTCTAACATGTGGTAAAACTTCGTCATTCAAGTAATGGTGCTTCAAAAAATTATCTTGCGTGTCCTCAGCTAGTTTACCATGACAAAGATTTGCTTACAGTTTAGCCACATATGTAGTCACAGACCTATACATGCATAAATACCCAAGGTCTTCAACACAATGAAGTTAGAGAAAGGAAGTGAAGATGTGAGAAGATAGCACTGGTACATGTAAACCAAGAGAAGGGAAGTTTGTGGAGAAAACAGAATCTTCCAGTCATTTTTTCAAAGCTACAAATATAAATACAATACATGTAATAGGGGAGAGGCAGGTTTACTTGAAGTAATATTTGATCGCCTCCTACCAATAACTGTGTCATCAGCTCTCACTGTTTGACTTTGTAATTACAGGGATGCACAGTGCACTGGTCTCTTTAACTCTAAAAAGACATATTTCATAGTAAGACTGTTATGAATCCACACCAATGACTTTATTAAATGCTACTCCAGGAAACAGCCATGTATCAAATCATCACATTGGACACCTTAAATTTATAATGTTATGTATCAATTATATCTCAATAATGCTAGTGGGAAAATGCTATTCTAGGCTAAGAATTGGAGGCAAGGGGAGAGAGAAGAAAACTTGAGACTGTAAGAACCCAGAGAGGAATTTTCACTTTATGCATATATATAGAAATCAAAAGGTATAATTTATAGCTGAAATTCACAAGACTTCTATATACACAATGTTTCTGAAGTGATCATGTATATTACCTGATGTCGTTTGATTATATCTTTCAATTTGTTAGCCAACTTCAGATCAATGTCTGGAATGAGGTAGATGTTGGGTCTGGCCAGACAATTGCTCTGAGGGAAAAAGAAAACATTCTGAAATTCTCTTAGTTTTGAAATAATGTCATATTATTTATGCATTTATCTTAATGACAAAAGTTGGCACTCAAAGCCATACTGCTTAAAATAGGAAGACATACTTGGCTGCAGCATGTAAAAGCCTTATTTCAATACAAAACCTAGGTGGTTCAGCAGGCTACTTAATGCCATTCACTGATCAAAAAACTGCTAAGACTCATGACTTAGAGAAATTCATTATACTTTTCATTAAGGTATTATACTAATAAATATATCCTAGTCAATTTTACCTGGACTCAAGAGTCTAAGTCTCATGTAGCATTTTCACCTAACCTGGGGGTGGGAGTTGAGGGGGTACATGGGGAGGGATGACCATTTTGGCTCATCATTTAAGTTACTTAAAATATAAAAACTGAACTATAGCTCTTTCCCCCCATTTCTAATCTTATGAATAGCAATGATTGAAACATGAATATTAACTCCCCAAACCATCACCAAAAACTAGCCAAGATACAAAAACTGCTCAGTTATTTCTCTTAGTTAAGAGCCCATGAGAAGTTTCAGGAATCAAATTAATGATAATACCCAGCAGAATTGCCAGTCCCCTCTCCCCAGGAAGGTTAATTCAGTGATTATTAAAAATTACTTATCAGTAAAAACACTAAGAAAGAAAAGAAGAAAATTAAGTGTTCTCTTCTTCAAGTTATAATCTAGTTGGGGAAATAAGATTTCTATTTATGGCACAACCATGAAACAAATCCAAAGAAAATGACTGTATAAACAAATGACTACTAGGATGACAGAATGTTCATATTAAATATGAAAGATCTAAATAATGGATTAGTGAAATTAATAAAGAAAATATTATGAATTATTTTACCATGTTTAAGAAAAATATTCTATAAATGACACAGTCATGACAGTCATACCTTATAGCTCTAATCTCCAAAACTCAAAAATAATATAATAATAGATTTCAGGAAACTTTTCTCCCTTTGATCTCTGAGTTAGAATAAAGCCAATCTTAGAATTAAAAGCAAATTAAAGGAAAAAAGTTTTAACAAATTTTCTGAGTTACCTGAACCAATGTTTTTTCAATGTTCATAAACATTTCAACATTACGATCCATTCGGGATGGATTCTGCAGATCAAACCTTCGCCTGTAAGCAAAAAATCATTAGTTAATTTGTCTCCTACCTTAAACAAAAGTGAAAACTTGGTTTTAGTACCCAGTACAAATGAGCTCAAAAGATTTGGATATTAAAATAGCACTCTACGAAATGTATAACATATTTTCTTGGCAGTGTGAGAAATCAGTGTCAACACCTTCATAAAACATTACATTTAATGATATTCAATCTGCTCCAGTCAAAATGAACTACCAAATTCAAGAATCGTCCCCTGTTTTCTGTAAATCTAAGATATTTTACATCATATATAAAACTAATCCACAGATCCAAAGGCAGTGAATTACCATACCATTCTCCAAGTATATGTACAGTCTGTCTACTTTATATATGCTTAAAAGTCATCTGTTCAAAGTCAAGAGTGTCTGTAATGCTCTTAGAGCCTACTACTGTTCCAAATGGGGTAAAATGCATCTATTTACACTTCAAATCTTTCCCGAATGTTTCTTTATCTAAGTACCCAAGCATAACATGTTAATGTTGTCTTTACCTATCTTAGTCATCTCCAGAGATTCAGTTCAGTCAGTTCAGTCAGGTCCAACTCTCCGCAATCCCATGGACTGCAGCACGCCAGGCTTCCTTTCTCCATCACCAACTCCTGGAGCTTGCTCAAACTCATGTCCATTGAGTCGGTGATGCCATTCAACCATCTCATCCTCTGTTGTCCCCTTCTCCTCACACCTTCAATCTTTCCCAGCATCAGGGTCTGGAATTCCATCATCTCCACTAGCTTTTTTCATAGTGATGATTCCTAAGGCCCACTTGACTTCACATCCAGGATGTCTGGCTCTAAGCGAGTGATCACACCATGGTGATTATCTGGATCATGAAGATCTTTTTTGTACAGTTCTTTTGTGTATTCTTGCCTCCTCCTCTTAGAATCTTCTGCTTCTGTTAGGTCCATACTGTTTCTGTCCTTTATTGTGCCCATCTTGGCATGAAGTGTTCCCTTGGTATCACTAATTTTCCTGAAGAGACCTCTAGTCTTTCCATTCCATTGTTTTCTCCTAAATACTTTGGTTGGGATAAAGCCTTTTCTTCAGGAGGAAAAGGGGGCAACAGAGGATGAGATGGTTGGATGGCATGATCAACTCAATGGACACGAGTCTGAGCAAACTCTGGGGCTTAGTGACGAACAGGGAGGCCTGATGTGCTGCAGACCAGGGGATCACAACAAGTCGGACACGACTGAGTGGCTGAACAACAAGGACATAATACAATTCTACAAGACAACCTGTTCTTATTTTTTTTAAGAAGAAAGGGTGAGGAAGAAAATCAGAAATGTTTTAAGAGGCTTAAGAGTCAGGCTTCCCTGGTGGCTCAGTGGTGAAGAATTCAATCCCAATGAGGGAGACACGGGTTCAATCCCTGGTCCGTGAAGATCCCACACGCCGCGAACAACTAAGCCCATGCATCCCAACCACTAAGCCCGTGTTCTAGAGCCCGAGAGTCACAACTACAGAGCTGTGTGCCGCAACTAGAGAAAAGCCCACAGACCAACAGAGACCCAGCAGAGCCAAATGTTTAAAACTTATTCAAAAAAAGAGACTTTTAAGAGAGTCATATGAACCAACTGTAGTGTATGAATCTTGTTTGGATACTAATTAAAACAAAATATAAAAAATCTTTGTGAAATTATCAGGGAAACAAACACTAAGTAGGTAGTATTTAACAATACTGAAAAATTACTGATAATTTTCTTGGCTAGGATAATGGTACTGTCATCATGCTTTCTTAAAATCTAATTTTTTTTGATCATGCCATGCAGCATGCAGGATCTTAATTCCTCAACCAGGGATTGAACCATGCCCCCTGCATTGGGAGTGCAAAGTCTTAACCACTGGACTGCCAAGAAAACCTCTAAAATCTAATTTTAGAAATAAATACACAAAAGTATTTACAGATGAAATTCTATAAAGCAGAAGATGCATGACTGGAAATACTTCACTATATTAATATTAGTCTTTCTTCTTTTATGTATAATTTGTATTTTCCATAATAATAAACCAAAATGGCTTGCCAAACAGTAATTTGATAACATGTCACATTAAAGCTTTTCTGAATCTACAGTATGATAAGTAAGCAAAAGTACATATATGAATATTAAGAAAAACTGAACAAAAGAAAACAGATAAATACAGTATAACTTTTACTTGAAAGATTTTATCTAACTTATTTTTAAATTAGCAAGAGTATTTAAACTTTACTTTTTAAATTATGCAAAGATGTTCAAAGCTGCCCAAAAGGGAAATGTAAATTAAACTAAAATTATAAAACCTTCTTCAAAATAAAGTAAAATAAAACCTTTTTCAAATCTATCACAAATTACTAGGATGAAAAGATGTCAGTAATACAAATAAATACAACTGCTGGGCAGTGAAAGGGGTAAAGGTACGCTCAATACATTCTGGTTGGACAATAAATCAGTACAATTTTGTTTGAAGATTTGCCAATTGTTTGTATATGTTTCTTGTTATTTCAACCTGAGTATCTTAATTCCTTATGATCTCATCTGAGTCAGCAGCAGAATCAAGATGACAAGCCACTATTCAAGTGCCCAGCTGTATTGACAGTTATTAAGATATGCACTGTTTGAACATAAGTGATCCACTCACTGCAAGTGTGTAAATCACAGGAGACAGGGGAAGGTGGGTACTGCAACTGATTTATAATTATACTTGAAAGAGGATAATTCTGCTACAATCTGAGAAGATTTGGAAAAACTATTACTCTTCATTCCTCTTAAAAAGTCTCTAACTCTATCCTTTACTTCTTTGTTGGCCCGATATTTAAGCCATAGATGATTTACTTTATGTAACCTTCTAAACCACCTGAAATCTTTTCAGATAAAAATATTTCATTGCAGTGATACTCTAAATAAGCAAATTTCATAATGACTTAGGAAGGTCATTTCACTTTGAGACTCTGCCCTCAAGGGTCCAGGCTGGACTTGGGAGACACAAACTGAACAAGGAAACCAACAAAGGAAAGAGTTCCAACTGCGAATCTAGAGTGTGGACGCAAACCACGTATGAGCACCCAGACACGCTGTCAATCCTGTTAACAAACCAGGGACTACTCTGGGAAGAGCGCGCCACCAAAGCCGGAAAGAGAACTGAAAAACAGAAAGCTACCTCTGATGACAACAAACTCTCGTGCTCATTTAATCAACCAAATAATATCTATTAAACACCCACTCACAAATAAGATATATGTCTGTATCTCTTTCCACTTACCATAAATAAGTCATTTACTTATAAACTTGCCCTGATTATTGATGCAAATACTTTCTGGCATTTCTCAGTCATAAGGCATTAGATTAGCTTACTTTTTATGTTAAAAGACACAGATTACATGAGTATTCTCCTGGAAAGATACTAAGATTATAAACCGCACAACACAACTAAAACCACCAAACAACTTCAATACACTTCAGCACCCTCCTAACCCCTAACCTCACCCCATCCTTGAAATAGAACCATCATCATTAAACACTCAATAGTCCTAACAGCTGAACTTCCCACACTGAGATGGAGAAAACCCTACAATTCAAGAAAGAAAAGGAGGAAAGCATCAAGAAAGACAGAGTGAGAAAGAAGAAAAGTAAGAGTAAAAGGAAAAGAAAAGTTGTAGGGAAAAAACCAGGAGGAATCCCCATCCTAGCTCCATCACTGCCCTCACAACTACCTGCACTCCTCTGAGCCAGACTCCTTTCGTGTTCTGAGGGGCGCAAGCTGGGTGACTCTTACTTGGAAGGCCTGGTCCACAGAACACTTAAAACTGTTATCTTTCAGCACACTGTTAAGTTTATAATACACATTTATGTATTTCATAGTGACCCTACCTTCAGATTTGCTAATAATGTACATCCATCGATTATCTACATGCAACTATATATGAAAAATATCCTGCACAATAAATGTAACAGTTGTTTGATATTTTTCTTGGCTGCAGGCACAAAAGTAAATTAGGGCCCTAGATAAAAGACAACCTACTTTGGGATATTGATCATAATATGCTTATAGAATTCTGTAACACCGTATCAAAGAGGAACAGGCTTAAGGTTGGAAAACTTACACACATCACAGCAAAACATGCACATAAAAACAAAAACTTACCACCCCTGCTCATTTTTGTATTTGTAAGCAGCCCCAAGAATGTGACACAAGGTGCCTCCGGCTTTGAAATCCATGAAACATTTTGCCTAAAAGATGATACAAGTTACACATGAGAAAAATAAAACTTCTGACAATTACTCCTGTCTGAACTCTAAGCTTTCTAAGTGCAAGCTCATTTGTGTCTGACTCCTTGCAACCCCATGGGCAGTAGCAAGCTCCTCTGTTCATGGAATTTCCAAGGCAAGTATACTGGAGTGGGTTGCTATTTCCTCCTAAAGGGGATCTTCCCAACCTAGGGACTGAACCTGCATCTCCTGTGTCTCCTGCATTAACAGGTGGATTCTTTACCACTGAGCCACCTGGGAAGTCTAAGTTTTATATAAACTCAAAGTTATAAACAACTCCTAAGACAATAACTTCCTGGCTTTTTTGGAACAAACTGAAGTACAAAAAAATGTTTCTAGTTTTAAGTAAACAGTCTATGAAAAGAAAAGACTTACAAAAGATACATCAAATTGTTTCAGCATAAAACATTAATGGACAAATTAATGATATTACTACCAACTCCACTGGCAAATTTAAAATTCAATTTAAAAAACTAAATAAAATTCATATTTTAAAATGTATAAGAAACATCAAGCCAACTTCACTGATGAACACAGATGCAAAAATCCTAAACAAAAGACTAGCAAACCAAATTCAACAGTACAGCAAGAAGATCATATACCATGATCAAGTGGGATTTATCTCAGAAACACGTGAGGGTTTTTCAATATCCACAAATGAATCAACATGATACACAATCACGAACTGCAGAAATCATATTATCATCCTAACAGATACAGAAAAAGCTTTTGATAAAATCCAACATCCATTTGATTAAAAAAAAAAAACTCTCCAGAAAGTGGGCACAAAGGGAACATATCTCAACATAATAAAGGCTATACATGACAAACCTACAGCTAATATCATACTCAATGGTAAAAAACTGAAAGCATTCCTTTAAAGATCAGGAACAAGACAAGGATACCCACTGATACCACTCTTCTTCAACATAGTCTTGCAAGTCCTAGACACAGCAGTCAGAGAAGGAAAAGAAATAAAAGGAATCCAAATTGGAAAGGAAGAAATAAAAACTATCTTCAGATGACATGATACTATACATAGAAAATCCTAAAGACGCTACCAGAAAGCTACTAGAGCTCATCAATGAATTTGGCAAAGGTGCAGAATGCAAAATTAATATACAGAAATCTGTTGCATTTCTATACATTAACAACAAAAGATCAGAAAGAGAAATTAAGGAAACAACCCAATTTACCATCGTAACAAAAGAGTAAAATACCCAGAAATAAACCTACCTAAAGAGGCAAAAAACTTGTACTCTGAAAACTGTAAGATGCTAACGAAAGAAACTGAAGATGACACCAGCAGATGAAAAGATATACTATGTTCTCAGTATTGTCAAAATGACATTACTACCCAAGGCAATCGAGATTCAATGAAATCCCTATCGAATTACCAATGATGTTTTTCACAGAACTGAAACAAAAAAATTTTTTACTTGTATGGAAAAACAAAAGACCCTAAACAGCCAAAATAATCTTAACAAAGAACAGATCTGGAGGGATCACAGTCCCTGACTTGAGATTATACTACGAAGTCACAGTAATTATAACAGTATAATACTGGTCCCAAAACAGACACACAGATCAACAGAATAGGACAGAAAGCCCAAAAGACAAACCTACGCACTTATGGTCAATTAATCTGTGACAAAGGAGGAAAGAATACACAATGGAGAAAAGATAGTCTCTTTAAAAGTGCTGCTGGGAAAACATGTAAAAGAATAAAATTAGATCATATTTAATTTGTAACATTATATATAAAAATAAACTGAGACTGGATTAAAGACTTAAATATAACACCAGTTATTATAAAACTCCTAGAGGAAAATATAGGCAGAACGCTCTTTGACATAAATCACAGCAATATTTTTTTGGCTCCATCTCCTGGAGTAATGGAAACAAAAATAGACAAATGGGAAAAAAATAAACAAATGGGACCTAATTAAACTTAAAAGTTTTTGCACAGCAAAAAAAACCATAAACAAAATGAAGACAACCAACAGAATGGGAGAAAATATTTACAAATGATGCAACTCAAACAAGGGATTAATTTCCAAAATAGACAAACAGCTTACATAGCGTTTAAAAAACAACAAACCAACAATCCAATAAAAGAAAAAAATGGGCAGAAGATCTAAATAGACATTTCTCCAAAGAAGACACACAGGTGGGTGATAGGAAAATGAAAAGATTGCTAATATTAAAAGAAATGCAAATCAAATCAAGGAATAATGCTGAAGCTCCAATACTTTGGCCACCTGATGCGAAGAGCTGGCTCACTAGAAAAGACCCGGATGCTGGGAAAGATTGAGCACAGGAGGAGAAGTGGTTGACAGAGGATGAGACGGTTGAATTACATCACTGATTCAATGGACATAAGTTTGAGCAAACTCTGGGAGACAGCGAAGACAGAAAAGCCTGGTGTGCTGCAGTCCATGGGGTCACAAAGAGTCAGACACAACTTAGTGAATGAACAACAACAAATCAAAACTACAATGAGGTATCACCTCAAGCTGGTTAGAATGGCCGTCCTCAAAAAGGTTACAAAAAATAAATGCTGGAGAGGATGTGGAGAGACAGGAATCCTCCTATACTGTTGATGGGAATGTTAACTGGGGTAGTCACTATTGAGGTAAGGAGGTTTCTTAAAAAACAAAAAATAAAAGAAATCCCACTCCTAGGCATATATTAAAAGAAAACCATAATTTGAAAAGATATATCACCCCAATGTTCACTGCAGCACTATTAACAATAGCCAGGACATGGAAGCAACCTAAATGTCAATCAACAGAGGGATGCATAAAGATGTGGTACATATACAGTGGAATATTACTCAGCTATAAAAAGGAATAAAATCATGCCATTTGAAGCAACATGGATAGACTTAGAAATTAGCATACTAAGTAAAAAAGTCAGACACAGAAAAACAAATATATCACTAATGTGTCAAATCTAAATTTTTAAAATGATATAAATGAACTTAAAAACAGATAACCAAAGAGGGCTTACTATAGCACAGGGACCCCTACTCAATATTCTATAATAACCTATATGGGAAAAGAATCCAAAAAAGAATGGATATATGTATAACTAAATCATTATGCTTTAAACCTGAGACTAACACAACACTGTAAATCAACTATACTTCAATACAATTTAAAAAAATGAAAAACATAAAAAAGCAGCATACAAAATCAACTAATTTTTCATGTTACAATTACGTTTGTGTTATGTATGCATATGTACTAAAAGCCTTGAAGGAATTATGGAATAACAAGAAATTTTACTTGTGGAGGTAAAAAAACATGAATTCATATCATGTTTGCTTGTGAAATACATTTTTAGCCTTACAAAGCACTTTTTTCCCCCTAAATCTTTCTAATTTCTCAGCATTAGATAGAACATATCCTATGCTGAGCCAGCTGTTTAACATCCAATAGGACTTACTGAAGTGACGTGAAAGTCACTCAGTCATGTCCAACTCGTTGAGCCAGCTGTTTAACACCCAAGAAATAGGACTTACTGAAGTGACATGAAAGTCACTCAGTCATGTCCAACTCTTTGAGACTCCATGGACTAGGACCCACCAGGCTCTCCTTTGTCCTGTGGATTTCCCAAGCAAGAATACTGGAGTGGGTTGCCATTTTCTCCTCCAGGGGATCTTCCCAACCCAGGGATTGAACCCAGGTCTCCTGCACTGCAGACAGACTCTTTACCATGTGAGCCACCAGAGAAGCCCTTAACATGACTTAGGAAGCTGGTAAACAAAAAGTTCTAGTTTGATTAAAAAAAAAACAGCCCAAATAGTGAACTCTTACTCCAGTACTATTCATTCAGGAAAAAAACTTAAGGTAAATAAATTACATGTTTCACTGAAACACTGTCTGCTTTACTATCTCTTTCCTTCAGTTTTGTTTTACACCATTACGCCTTTTTTTTTTTTTTCCATTATGCCTTATTGTATCAATCCCTTTCATTTGGGAAAAAGCTAAACACTATTTGGAAAGAAAAAGAAGTAAACCTGGTTCCTCTACCAGTAAACTATGAATTATTTTTAAGTACGGCTTATGCCTAAAAATATTCTTTAAAATCTTTAAAATTCAGAAAAATTATAATGGATTAGTTCGCAGGAGTTAAATATTCCCCAAATAAACCCTCTTGTAAACACTATTTTCCAAGACACTCATATAACCCTAATTAGGAATACCAATATAATGCAAATCACCTTACATAAAATACTTCATATAATGCTACATGTAAATTTTATTCTAAATGATTTTATACCTGATAAAATATAAACTATAAGTATTATATTATAGTGTTTTAAATGATAAAAACTTCAACCAGTTCCTGATTTGATCATTCTAATCTAGTTGATAATGTAAAAGAACAGGAAATAAACACTCAAGTATCTGGAGGTAAAGGAACAAGGAATTTTCAGATGATTCAGAATATGCACAAACACGTAGAGAAAAACAGTGATAAAGCAAACATGGCAAAATGCTAAAAACTAAGGATTCTAAATGAAGGGAAATGAAAGTACTTTGCACTATTCTTGCAAATGTTTACTTTCAATTAATTTTAAGCTTATAAAAGTTACCCCCGAAACCTCAATCTGCCATAGTACAGAAAATAAAATATGCTCATTATTCAGCTGAATAGCTCCCATTTGTCAAAAATGAGCAAGTACCTCCAATATCTAAACATGTATTTATAAATTATATACATGTATTTACTATAATACTAATATACTATCTATGTAACTTAAATCACACATAAAAAAGTAGGCATTTTAAAGAGTAACTAAAAAATAATTAAAAGAGAAGAAATGCTCTTGTTCTACAAATGTGAATTCAACCAGCACCCAGTAACTCTCAAATGTGTTCCTCTAATTCAACCTTTTCTCTAAAACTTCAGATCTCATTTCCAACTACCTACAGGATTTCAAAATCAGAGATGCCCTACAGGAGAGCCAACTTCAAACAGACTAAACTGAGTACCTTTCTCCAGAAACCTGCTTTTGTACTGTCGCTTTCACCTTAGTGCTAAAGGAATTGGCTCAGTGCAGTCATCCCAGGCAATTCTTTCTTATTTTAGCCCCACAACCCATCCTCCCACCAAAAACAAACGAACAAAAAACCCCACAAAGTTCTACCCCCTCTCACTATTTCAACTCCTTTCTATTCTGACTACAGCTCACTTGGATTATGAGAGCAGCTTCTTCATGGAGAGAGAGACTTCAAAGCCTCCAATCTGAAGGCTTCCAATTCATTCTTCATATCAAAGCCTGCAGGGTTATCATAAAACCCAAAATTGATTAACCCACCTCTACTCTCCCCTGTGCTCTGGTTCCCAACCACTTTCAAGGTAAAAGTCACACTTCTATCCTTTTATGACTGATTCTGGCCCATCTCTCTGCCTACTGTCCTCAGTTCTAACCCTGTTGAACTATCTGAAACCACATTAAAGTGCCATAATTTTCTCAGGCCTTTAGGGTCTTACAAATTGCTCTCATTGCTTGAAAAGCTCATCTTCCAGCATGTCGCTGAAGAACTCATACTCTACTTTCAGGACTCAGTTCAAATGTCCTTTCCCTGGGAAAACATTTCCTGAGACCAAAGGCTCTATTTATACATCTCAAAGAAAGAGTGGAAGTAAGCCCCTTGAGGACAAACAATACACTGCATCACTCCTTGAATTCTCAGAACTTGGCACATACTCAAATGCTTAATATTTGCTGAACTCAAATCAGTGGGGGTAGGCAGTACCCTTTAATAAATGTTGTTGGGTTAACCAGGTGATCATATGGAAAAAGATAAAACTGGATCCCTTGCTCACAATGAATACCAAGATAAATTCTAGATGGCTAACCCACGCCATACAAATAATACAAGAATGCATGGCTAAAACCTTTTATCACCTATGAGTGGAGAAAGAATCCTAACATGATTCATAAAACCACATCCACTTATTTGACTTAATGAAAATAAATGTCTGGGTGGCAAAAATATCATAAGCAAAGCAGACAGATTAATTCCAAGTTCAGTAAAATAATATTTTTTATTCCCATTTATATCTGAGAGATCAGTGAGTCATTAAAACAAAAAGGTTAATGATGAAATAAGAACACACAAACCGGAAGCTTTTGATATTAAAAAAAAAAGTCTACCAATAATAAATTCAGTAGAGGCAATAGAGAGCAGACTGGAAACTACAAAAACCCAAACGAGAGAATTGGAAGACAAAAATTACAGGAAAATATGACAGGTAGTTCCCAGAAATCTCGTATTTGTACAATCAGAGTTCAGATATATAAAGAAATACAGACAAGCAGAGAAGACTAATAAACCGAATGTTCCCAGAGGTAAAGAAACGTAACTGAGTCTTCAGATCATGACTTATGAGAACTATAAATATTTATGAATTTTAAAGATCAGTATGAAAAAGGGATAATCAAAAGGTAGTGTCAGATTTTTCTGTACAAAATCAAACGTTTAAGAAAGAACAAAACCTACAAATTTAAAAAAGAAATAAAACATGACCAATTTCTACACCAAGTCTAACCTCTAGTCAAAATACCAACTTCAAGGGGAACAGAATCATATTCTCACATAAGCTCAGAAGAATCTAATGGACAAAAAAAAAGAAATTTCAGAAAACAGCATTCTAGCCACAAGAACTGAATCAGGAGGAAAAAAAGGAAAAGACTTAGTAAAGACAATAAAGAAATTACAACATAGTAAAATGTTAACAGGTAAGTCTAGGTAATAACTATTGTGCTGTTTAATGCCAATGTTAAATGACTCCTGAAAGAGATGCTTCCTATAGTTCAAAAGCAGTAACATTCTACAGCAAAAATTCTGTAGAGATTCCTCCTTTTCCCTATTCTATACAATAGCAGCAGCAAAATAAACAGCTGCAGGCTGCACTCAAGAGTACAGAAATAGAAGCTGTCCCAGTGTGAGAAGCTGATGTACTTACCGGGAGCTTGGTGAAGGCCGGGTTGGTGACATGCTTCCCAAAGGCATCTTCCTGGAACTGAAGAAGCTGTACCACCAGCCCAGCCAGTGTTTTATTGGTAGGAGCATCCGTGTGAACATACTGCAAGATAAAGACAAAGACTCAAAAACTGGGACAACTGTGCAGAAGACAATGTTATTAGCTTACTTCCTAGTACCCAAGCACTGGCCTGGTGGCAGATTTTTAAGTGTCTGAGACACTTCTATAAACAAACATTGGGGGCAGTGGGCTGGATAAATAAAACATCCTTTTAGGGAACAGATCTTAAGGATGTCCAAGAAACCAAACCCAAATCATCTCATCCCCACCTGGATGGTGAGATCAAGGATCTCAAACTTGAGCCTGACGCTATAAGGGAATGAGAACTATTGGCCACTGAATTTTGTATGTGGCCAGAGAACCGACTGTGTTAAAAAAGTTTTTCAAACTAATCCACAAACTCTGATGCTCCTCTCATCTAGAAGTGGGGATCTATGTCCTCTTCTATTTAATCAGACCATCCTTAGGGACTCACTGAAAACCAATCAGCATGCAAGAGAAGTGATGCTGTGTGACTTCCGAGGATAAATCAAAAAAGATCAGACAGTTTTGCTTCCAAGTAGTTCTTTTGGGACACCCACCTTTAGAGCCCTGAACAGCAACAAAGCTGTCCAACCACCCTGACACCACCACACAGGAAGCCCAGGCTACCCAGAGAGGTCACATGAAGAGACCCCAGCTGATATCCCAGAAGACTGACAGTATAACCACGAGACACATGAGTAAAGGAGATTCCAGGTGATTCTGGTCCCCAGCTGTTAAGTCACCTTCAATCATCAAACCTCCCCAGTCAAGGGCCCAGACACCACTGAGCAGAAACAGTCACCCCGAACATGCCCATCCAAATTCCAGACACACGGGAACTCTTAAGCACAATAAAATGGTTGTTTTATGCCACTGAGTTTTGAGCACAATAAAATGGTTGTTTTCATGCACTAAAGAAAAATACACATGTGCGGGCACTTAAAAATGGTTACGATGGTAAGCTTTACAAGTTTTTGGCCAAAATAAGAATCTTTTTAAACAAATGTACATGAGAAGTTATCCATGCTGATGTGCGTCATGTCACAAAGGGCAAACCCATGGCAGACAGCAAGTGAACAGCACAGCAAGCAGAGAGAGTACATGACGGGAAAAGCATAAACTAGAGAGTTCAATTAAGTGTAGAGTTTAATTTAGTATTCAGCATTCAATATCACTTAGAAAGACCATCAAATTTTTTTTTAAACCGCCAATTCTATGGGGAACACATGTAAATCCATGGCTGATTCAAGTCAATGTATGGCAAAAACCACTACAATACTATAAAGTAATTAGCCTCCAACTAATAAAAATAAATGAAAAAAAAATAAACCGCCAATTCTGAGCAGGAAAACACATCTATACTTCCATTAAAAAAAAACAACAACACTATTTCTCTTTCTGGAAAAACCTCTTTCCCAGTACCACCCCACATGTCAAAATTAATGTTTCTACTGCAGTAATGTCTGATACCTATACAGCAAAATGTCAGCTGTATCATCTACTGTTAGTTACAAGGCCTTAAGTGGATTGGTTCTCAATATGTGTTGCTGCTGCTAAGTCACTTCAGTCATGTTCAACTCTGTGCGACCCCACAGACAGCAGCCCACCAGGCTCCCCCATCCCTGGGATTCTCCAGGCAAGAACACTGGAGTGGGTTGCCATTTCCTTCTCCAATGCGTGAAAGGGAAAAGTGAAAGTGAAGTCGCTCAGTCGTGTCTGACTCTTAGCGACCCCATGGACTGCAGTCTACCAGGCTCCTCCATCCATGGGATTTTCCAGACAAGAGTTCTGGAGTGGGCTGCCACTGCATTTGCTGCCAATCAAAGAGAGAGCATAATATATTAACAAGAGGGCAGGCAATTCTTTTAAAGCTTAGTATCCTCTCACATTTTTATTTGTTCAAGTATACTAGCTTTCCTCTCTACATGGAACAGCCAGCATAAGTTAAATTTTGCCAAAGGCTGGTATTTTGTTGGAATGCTTTGTTTTACATGAAACCCTCTAGACCAAAGGTTGGTAAAATCCAGCCCACTGCCTATTTCTGTGTGGCCCACAAGCTAAGAATGGCTTAACATTTTTAAATGCTTGGGAGAAGTTTTAAGAATAATATTTCATGACACACGAATATTATATAAAATCCAAATGTCAGGGTCCATGAACAGCTTTATGAAAACACTGCACACTCATTCATTTGCACTCCAACAGCAGAGCCGAGCAGTTGCCGCTGAGACTGCATGGTCTGCAAAGCCTCAATATTTACTCTCTTGCCCTTTTATAGAAAAAGTCTGCCTATCCTTGTTCTAAACTACACCTTTTTATCCTTACAAATAGCTTCCTTTTATATCAAAGGTGTTCTGTAAAACCACATTTCCATAAGACTATGAAGTGAAACGTTTGTCAGACATAAGCCAAAAACTAGAAACCCGTTTCATGCATTAAGCACATATGATGTCAAATCTGTTAGTATAAAATAATGGTTCTTAAGTTTTAGCCCCACTCCCAGTCAGGTCCAAGAATCTGCATTCGTAACAAGTTCCCATGCGACAGCATGGGAATGGGCACTACACTGTAAGAACCACTGGGCTTTCAAAAAAAAATCCACTTCAAATATTGTTATATGTCATGTATCTCAGTTAAAGAACACATTTATTATAATCTAAAAGTTAAAAAACTAGGTAAGCAATTTTTAAATGTTAAACATTACTTATAATTCCCCTTTCCTACAATACCAATTCCCACAAAAACCATCAAGTTTAATTTTCTGAGGACTACTGTTAAACAGAGCAAACCTTTAATGAGGAATACTCAATTATGACAGTAATACTGAACGTAGGATAATCTTTAATAAAGAATAAACTCTTCAAGTGTAACCCCACAGAACTGGCAAAGTATGTTGTACATACTCACAAGGTAACTTTACAATCTTTAATAAGTACAAGCTTCCAAGGGATCTTGTAACGTATTGCAGGTTTTTAGCATATAGTAAAGCAAAATGAAAAATTAATACCTGCAGACAACTGAACAGTATCAAATCCTAAAATTGAAAAAGGCACCATTTGGAGGAAGGTTGTTCAGCTAAAACCAAATCAACCCTTTAGGCAAAAATGAATTGTTAATGACCTATACACACAGCTTTGTATGTATTCTAAACTTCACCACTATCTACAGATGTGTCATTTAACATACCGTCATTTAAAATGAGAAAGATTTCACGTGGACAACCCTACAGTTTCAGAATAAAGACAGCAGGTTCAAAGCTCAATCAAAATTATTACCTTAGGTATACTAAAATTCAATTTTTAAACTATATTTTTTAACTGTTTATCAAATCACTCACAAAAATTATCAAACATGAAAATACATGTAAAAGATGACATTTTTAACTCATAAATTTGACATTTACGTATTATGTAAACTATACTCATACCCTCTCAAAAGGCAGGGTATGACTATTGTAAGATTTGAAAATCAACTTTTAAAAATTTCAAAGAGTAACATTCTATTTAATCAATCAGAGGGATCAGAAGATATACGGCAAAAGTATCACTAGTATCTCAAATTTATATAATCCTATCTTCAAGGACTATCTCATTTGATTCAAAACAACAGCCTACAGGAGTTACAAATGAGCAAGTGAAACATGGAAATCAACTGATCTGCTCAATGACATCAATTAGTGGCCAAAAGTACTGAACTCACATTTACCAATCCAATGTAATGCTCATTCTACTATCCCACGTTGACAGTTCAACTCCTCCCAAAAATCTCACCTAAACATAAAAAGATCCTAATAGTTTTCAAGATAATAAAAATCCTGATTAAAGGTGCTTTATCACCTTTATTAAAGGTGCTTATTAAATGTGTTTTAAAGGGGGAAAATTTAATGATTATATAAGACAACTTCAATCATAAAAATTTTATTTTTAATAAAAAAAAAGTTCAACAGCATGTTTTACTTAAGACAACAACAAAAAAACCTTATAGTCTCAAAGTTTTGATTAAGAAAGTTAGGAAAATATGCTTAGAAAGCTGTATCAATAAATCTGCTTTATATTCCCTGTGACATTAATAACATTAAAAGTTTAACTTATCCCTAAATAATTCTATTGCAGCAGATGATGTCCCATATGAAAAAAACAACTGTCTTAACCTGTTATAAAGGGCATGGAAATATCTTCCTTGGGCAATCCAGTCTGTTTTCGTGATCATGGTTAAATCTAAAGCATCTTTATTTAAATCATCCTGAAATCTTTAATTTCAGGAGTAAGCCAAACTTTGGGAAGAAACTTCCCTGGGAACCGAATGGCTTACAGATCCACTTCACCTTCTCAAGGAGTTATCATCAGAAAACCACCCTCAACTATGGACAGAGACATACCTTTCAGTGTTACGGACACACGATACACACCCAATACTACAAGGCAGGCAGCTCAGGTAGATAACCACTGGAAGTGCAACCTTGGGCAGTTTCCACTTCCCTAGACTGGTCACCTCCTCTAGGTCCTTTGGCAAGTAGAAATTCATCCCAGTCCAGAAGTATTTACTCTCCTTTCTGTAATGCTAAGGCAAATGTATCAACAAAACTACAATAAATAGGTTTCTAGAGGTTTCTACCCTAGTTAATCTGTTCATTCATGGAACAAAGATTTATTGAGCACCTTCTATGGACATTCAGAAGACAAAAACAATACAAGGGAACTCTCTTTTAATTTTAAATCAACTGGCTTTTACAGGCAGGTGCCAGTGTCTATCTTTTCCACAACACTGTGAGTTTCTTAAAGAGAAGAATCACGAATAGCAAAAAGAAAAAAAAAAGCGGGGGGGGGGGGTGGTTGGAGCTGGAGCCAGGTGGACCTTCTCTGAATCCCAAATTTGTGACTCCTAACTGTAATTCTTATAGAAGTTACTTAAACCTGAGGTCTCAGGTTTCTCTCATGGGGAAAATGAAGTAAATAATATTTATCATACAGGACCACTGTGAGGATTTAAGCAAGTTATGTTTTAAATGCCCGGATAAAGGGGATGCTCAAGCTGTCCTCATAGTGCATGCATAAACCCATCAATAAAAATGCTACTATCAATGTCATGTCTATTTCATTTATTTGCTGAGATTTATTAATTTGAAAATACAGTATTAAATGCAACACAAAAGTTAAGTTAAAAGTCATCAATGTGTACACCAAGGAGAGAGAGTGTGTGTATGGAAGAAGCAAAGAACGTTCTTGTAAATATTTTTACCACATCAACACCACTCTCAGAGGCTGATAGGATTCTGACTATCAGGTCCAAGGATAGTCCAAGGATATGCAATTCTGAATCTGAACAGGACTAAGAAATACATTCCAGTTTTATGAAACACTGAGAGGTCAAATATAACTTTAACTCTGTCTTCAAAGCCTCAGGGACAGGGAGCCAGCATTAGCCTACTGGCTTCAATCCTCTGGGACAAATCTTGCAATCAGGCTCACAGCCACTTCCTCATCCACCCAAACCCAGCTCTGAAAGACTATCCAACCCTAAAGCTGCCCTCTGAAAACTGGGCCAAAAGAGATGCCGTCTGGAAAGGTAGAAATAACTATCACTGTACTTCTTCTATTCCCTTCTTTGCTATCCAAAGGAATATTCCTCCTGAGTATCTCTTTGTTAAAGCTACAGTGATAAAGTAATACAGTATTATATGTCAATTTTATCTCGATAAAACTGGGGTAAACAATCCAGCCTTGGGATTCCCTGGTGGTCTAGTGGTTAAGAATCCACCTTGCAACATTGGGACATCAGTTTGATCCCTAGTCCAGGAAGATCCCACATGCTATGCCACAACAACTGAGCCTGTGCTCTGGAGCCCATATGCAGCAGCTACTGAAGCCCGGAGCACCCTAGAGCCTGTACTCCACAACAAGAGAAGCCACTGCAATGAGAAGCCCACACGAAGAGTAGCCCCCGCTCCTTGAAACGACAGAAAGTCTGCACACAACAACAAACACCCAGTGCAGCCAAAAAATTAACTAAATAAAATTAAAAAAAAAAAAAATCCAGCCTGGGAGGAAAAACACATTAAGGTATATTAAGACCCAAAATACTGCCTGAAGGGCACGTGATAAACAATAATTTCATAATATAAACATATTCCATTTCCTTAGCTACTACCATAAGCGTTATTGTTTACACACAAAAAAAGACCCATTTACCAATGTACAAGGGAAAACAATATTGTCCACTTGCATATAAATGAGGAAAATCTACAATCTCAAATGTGACTCTAAAATTCCTGGGAGAATAAAGTCAAAGCAACAAAAAATATATTGTAAATAAGAATATGTCACCTCTCACTTTCTAAAAACTGATGTGTGTGTTGTGCGCTTAGTCGCTCAGCCTTGTCTGACTCTTTGTGACCCCATGGACTGTAGCCCACCAGGATCCTCTGTAGTTGATATTGCTATCATGGATCCATATGCTATCATGGAGAATCTATGCGTATTCTCCAGGCAAGAATACTGGAGTTGGTTGCCAAGCCTGCCTCCAGGGGATCTTCCCAACCCAGGGATCGAATCCAGGTCTCCCACATTGCACGGGGATTCTTTACTATCTGAACCACCAGGGAAGCCCAAAACTTGAGATAAGAAATGGTGATTTCTGAAAGTACAGTGGAGTATCAGAGGAACCCAAGACCCCTGCCCATGCCTAACAACGTCCAAAAGCTGATGAGTTTCACCGCACTGTAGACCCGAAACTTAAAGTAGGTTTCTAGACTGCTTTATCTTTTCATTCATTCAACAAATATTTACTAAGCAACTACTAAGGGTCAGGCAATGAGGATCAAAAATGTTCCAGGACACACTACAGTGAACAGGCCAAACCACCTCCTAGCTCCAGGGCGATGGTCCACAACGGAGGAAGCAGAGAACTGTGAAGGGTGTTCAGGAAATTCTGGGACACAGAGAGTAATTTTTTCTTTTTTTGGCAGTCGGCTTCCTTACACTTTCTAAGGGGTTCAGTCATTACTAAATAAGTTATACAAACGGGAAGCTAAAAAAGTTGTTATAAACATGGGACTAAGTCACAACTTTCAGTACCAATGACTCAGTCCAACTAACACTGCAACGGCAGGACAAGCAGGTAAATGAAAATAATCCCAAAAAACGATATGAAGGAAACAAAGGTGATATAAAGTGGGGTGACCTAACACGAACGGGATTCTCAGGGAAGCCCTCACATTAGCTACAAGTCAACATTAACTCTTGCACTCCCACTATACATAAGCAGAAAGAACTGTGACGTAAAAGCCGTCGTCTTTCTAATATTAGTGTGTTCCCATGAACACTGTAATCCATTATATTAACCTGCGGTTACCGACGTCCGAGTACAGCGGTCCACGGCCTTTAGCCTATCAACTACAGGTTTAAGAAAACCTTGGTTACCTCACTGGACTTTGAAGACTAATCTCTTAAACAAAACTTGCCTCGGCCCTTACAGCTCAGCTCAGACAGTTTTAATAACCACTGTTCACACACCTAAAGCGGCTAACAAAGAGGAAGAGTCACACCCTCCGGGCCACGGAGCCCGACCCGCTCCCTCACAAGCGCGGGCAGGGGCTTTCGCCCGGGCTCCCAAGAGTGGCGCCCCGAGGGCCGGCGGAGCCCCGGGCGCGCGGGCGCCGAGAACTGGCGGCGGGGGCGTGGCGGGCCCGGCGCCTGCCTTTGTTGTCCCTCGTGGCGCGCGGGGGGAGGGGCGGCCCGAGGCCCGCGAGGCCAGCAGCCGCCCCCGGCCCCCGTCACGTGGCCTCCCCGGCCCCTACGGGCGCGCGGACCCACCTTCTTGTAGTGCTTGCCCAGCCAGACCCGCACCGAATCCAGCTGGGACACCGTCTCCGGGCTCTCCCAAAACTTGCTCGCCGGGCCCCCGTCCTTCCGCCGATAAACCGCAAGGCCCGCGGCCGCCGCCGCGCCTCCTGCGCCCGCGGCGCCGGCCGTCGTCCCCAGCCCGCCGCCGCCCGCCGCCGCGGCCATCGTCGCCGTCCGTCGTCCCCACCGCCCGGCCCGCCCCGCCCCGGCCCTCGCGGCGTGTCCCGGCCCTCGCGGCGTGCCCCGTTCGCACCCGCGCGCCCGCGCGCGCAGCCGCCACTGCCGCCTCCCGGCCCCGCCCAGCCAACCTCCTTCCGGCGCGGAAGCCCGGCCCCGCCTCTTCTCGGGACCGGCGCCCTAACCAACGAGGGCACGCGCACACGCATGCGCAGCACTCGCGCCGGGCGGGCCCAGGACGAGCCTCTCCACCCGCCTCTTCCGCCTGCACCGCAGACTACTCATCCACTCCACCTGACAGCTGGGCCTCCGCGCGTGTGGCTGTTTCCCCGGTACCTGCGTTGAATCGTTATGTAATCTACAGCTGCACGGTGGTTCTGTGTCACCGTCTGCCACCGCCGGGGAGAAAGGAGCTGGTGTGAGATGTTCCGAGAGGAGAGCGCGTTTCGAGTGTCGCGTGCCAGGAGGGGAAACCCGCACGCCGGGTGGGAATCTGCGCCTGTCCCCGCTTGCCCTCAGACCTTGTACACGTAGTGACCCTGTCGTCCTTTGTAAACATCCATCTGGGACCCACCACCTTCGGCTTCACACCTTCCTCCCCGTCATGGCTGCAGCTACACCAGCTCCTTCCTGCCTTGGGCCGCTTGCAACAGCTACTCCCGCGACCTGGGCCCCTCTTCCCCTCTGATTGTCACTTGTGAAGTGAAAGTCGCTCAGTCGTGTCCGACTCCTTGCGACCCTAGTCCATGGAATTCTCCAGCCAGAATACTGGAGTGGGTAGCCTTTCCCTTCTCCAGGGGATCTTCCTAAACCAGAGATCAAACCCAGGTCTCCCACATTGCAGGCGGACTCTCTACCAGCTGAGCCACCAGGGAAGGCCAAGAATACTGGAGTGGGGAGCCTGTCCCTTCTCCAGCGGACCTTCCCGGCCCAGGAATCAGACCCGTGTCTCCTGCACTGCAGGCGATTCTTTACCAACTGACGCTTTCAAAATCATAGCTTAAAAGTACTTCAGAAAAGTAATCCCACCTGACCTTGCAGTCTTGAACAATCATACTCGCTCGACATTGTCGGGGTAGGACACACCATGACTTGGTATTTTTCTTATTTTCTTACTTTCCACATAAATTACATGAGAGCTAGTCTTGCTCACAGGTGTAGCCTCAGTGCTCAGAAGGCCTGTTACCCAACAGATGTTCAATAAATATTTGATGAATGAATGAATGATCTATAGGGAGGCAGAAGAGTTTTAAATTATTAACGAAGTGTGATTGGCCATTATGGAGTTTTGAACATAATGCTCTCTGACCCCAGAACAGAAAGTGACAAGCTGCTTGTGAGTTTTTCAGACCAGCCTTTATTTTTTTTTTTTTTAAAGTAATGCTGTTTTAATGCCAACAAATTAGACAGCCTAAAATAAATGGATAAATTTCCAGAAACATAACAACCTACCAAGACTGAATGATGAAAAATTAGAAAATCTGAACAAATATTACTAGTAAAAAGATTGATCAGTAGCAGAAACCTCTTAACAAACTAAAGTTCAGGACCAGATAGCTCCGTTGGTGAATTCTACCAAACATTTAAGGAATTATCAGTCTTTCTCAAACTCTTTGAAAAAATCTCAGAGGAAAAACACTTTCAAACTCATTTTATAAGGCTAGCATTACCTTGATACCAAAACCAGACAAGAACACTGCAACAAAAGAAAATTATAGGCTGATATCCCTGATGAATACAGATGCAAAAATCTTCAAAGAAATATTAACAAATCAAATTCAGTATGTTAAAAGAATCATACACCGTATCAGTTCAGTTCAGTTCAGTCGCTCAGTCGTGTCTGATTCTTTGCGACCCCATGAACTGCAGCACACCAGGCCTCCCTGTCCATCACCAGCTCCCAGAGTCCAGCCAAACCCATGTCCATTGTGTCGGTGATGCCATCCAACCATCTCATCCTCTGTCACCCGCTTCTCCTCCCGCCCTCAATCCTTCCCAACATCAGGGTCTTTTCCAATGAGTCAGCTCTCTGCATCAGGTGGCCAAAGTATTGGAGTTTCAGCTTCAACATCAGTCCCTCCAAAGAACACCAAGGACTGATCTCCTTTACGATGCACTGGTTGGATCTCCTTGCAGTCCAAGGAACTCTCAAGAGTCTTCTCCAACACCACAGTTCAAAAGCATCAATCCTTCAGCATTCAGCTTTCTTTATAGTCCAACTCTCACATCCATACATGACCACTGGAAAAACCATAGCCTTGACTAGATGGACCTTTGTTGGCAAAGTAATGTTTCTGCTTTTTAATATGTTATCTAGGTTGGTCATAACTTTCCTTCCAAGGAGCAAGTGTCTTTTAATTTCACAGCTGCAATCACCATCTGCACTGATCTTGGAGCCCAGAAAAATAAAGTCAGCCACTGTTTCCACTGTTTCCCCATCTATCCGCCCCGAAGGCATGGGACCAGATGCCATGATCCCAGCTCCCTGAATGTTGAACTTTAAGCCAACTTTTTCACTCTCCTCTTTCACTTTCATCAAGAGGCTCTTTAGTTCTTCACTTTCTGCCATAAGGGTGGTGTCATCTGCATACATGAGGTTATTGATATACCTAGGAATAAATTTAACCAAGGAGATCAAAGACTGAAACTGTAAGACATTGATGAAAGTGAAGAAGACACAAGTAAATGGACAGATTTATGATTTGGAAGAATTAATATTGTTAAAATATTCATTCTGTCAAAAGCAATCTATAGATTCAGTAGAATCCCTATCAAAGTTCAAATGACAGGGACTTCTCTAGTGGTCCAGTGGTTAAGAATCCACCTGGCAATGCAGGGGAAGCAGGTTCTATCCTTGGTTAGGAAGCTAAGATTCCACATGCTGGAGAGCACGTAAGGCTGTGAGTCACAGCTGCTGACCTCTGTGCCACAGCTGGAGAGCCCAGGTGCCGAAACCACTGAGCCTGCACACCACAACTAGAGCGAGTCTACACTGAAGCGAAAGATCCTGAATGTCCGAACTAAGACCTGATGCAACCAAACAATTAAATTCAAATGACAGTTTTGCAGAAACAGAACCCCAGAATTTCTGTGGAAACACAGAAGATCCAAGTAGTCAAATCCTTGAAAAAGTACAAAGGTGGAGGCATTGTACTTCCTGATTTGAAACTATGTCACAAAGTTACAGATATCTTAATAGTATGGTGTTGGCAAAAAAAAAAAAAGACACATAGACCAGTGGACTGGAATAGGGAGCCCAGAAATAAACCCATGCATGTATGGTCAGTTAACTTATGAGAAAGGAGCCAAGAATATACAGTGGAAAACAGTCTCTTTAATAAAAGGTGTTAGGAAAACTAGAAAGATACATGCAAGAGGACAAAACTATATCACTACCTTACAAACTCAAGATGGGTTAAAGACTTAAATGTTTAAGACCCAAAGCTATAAACTCTAGAAAACATAGGCAGTATCTTCAGTGATGTTGGTCTTGGTGATGATTTTTTGTATTTGACATCAAAAGCAAAAAATAAACAAGTAGGACTACATCAAATTGAAAAGCTTCTGCAGGGAATTACCTGGTGGTCTAGTAGTTAGGATTCTGTGCTTTCATTGCCATGGCCCAGGTTCAATCCCTACTCAGGCAACTGAGATCACACAAGCACCACGGTGAGAAAACAAATAATAGCAAAATTTAAAAAACAAAAAGCTTCTGCACAACAAAGGAAACCATTAACAAAAAGAAAAGGCAACCTATCAAATGGTAGAAAATCCTAAATGCAGAAAATATGAGTGTTTTATGTAGAGGAAAGGGAACCCTTTTGCACCGTTGATGGGAATGTAAATTGTTTCAGCCAATTTACATAATTGTAATAAATTGTAAACTTATGAAAATAGTTGGAAGTTCCTCAAAATATTAAAAATAGATCTATCCTATGATTCAGCACTTCTGCTTCTGGATATTTATCTGAAGGAAGCAAAAACACTAAAAGATACATGCATGCCCATATTCACTGTAGCATTATTTACTAAAGTCAGCACATGGAAAAAACCGAAGTGTCCATTGATGGATAAATAAATAAATTGTGGTGTGTGTACACACACACACAAACTCAGGAAAATTATTTAGCCATAAACAAAGTCTTGCCTTTCTGTGACAACCTGGATGGCCCTTGAAGGCATTATTCTGTGAAATAATTCAGACAGAGAAAGACATGTAAGACAAGTACCTTTTGATCCCACTTATGTCTGAAATCTAAGACAAACAAAACAATAATCTCCAAACTCATAGATACAGAGAACAGATTTTTGGTTGCCAGAGGCAGGGGGGTGAGGGGGGGTGGGCAAAATGGGTGAAGGGGTACAAACTTCTAGTTAAATAAACAGCATGGTGACTATGTGTTCAGTCGCTCAGTCATGTCCAACTCTGCGACCCCATGCACTGTAGCCTATCAGGCTCCTCTGTACATGGAATTTTCCAGGCAAGAGTACTGGAGTGGGTTGCCATTTCCTACTCCAGGGTCAGACCAGCCTTTAAAGAAAAAAAGAGAATATGATCAGGGAGGAAGGGAGATTGCAAACACGTGAGGAAAAAAACTGGAACAAAGGCTTTAAAGTGTGAAAGCTTGCTTGGTGAAACTCCTTAAGCCCATGGACTGGAAGCAAGGATGTTACTTGGGATGGCAGTGAATTTTGAATACCCTGTAAGCACTGGAATACCAGCTTGAAGACACAGAATGACATGGTCAGATTTATAGATTAGAAAGTAGCTACTGCAGTAGTGTGAATGATAGAATAGAGAAAGAAAGCCTGGAGAAAAATGCATGGACAACAAAAGAAAAAATAAATTGGACTTCATCCAAATTACAATCTTTGGTGCTTCAAAATACACTGACAAGAAAATGAAAAAAACTAACTGAATGCGAAAAACACTTGCAAATTATAAACCTGATGAGATATATTCAGAGAATAGGGAAAAAAAAAACTTA